CAGGTCAGGTTTGGCAATTAATGGACTTGTTCTGTGGGTGGAGAGAGGAGTATGGCCATTGTTGCAAATGGATTATTTTATTGTGGGAGATTGTGCTGGTGGTACTGGAGGGGATGAGGGAGTGGCAGGTGAGCTTGAAGAAGAAAGTGGTGATAAAGGGGTAGGGAGGGAAGAAAAGGAAGAAGTGGAGAAAAAGAAGGAAGGTGGTGGGTAGAGGAAGAGAGGAGAGTGGCCATATTTGCTGTTGTACCAACACAGGAAAGTGTTCCATGAGAAGGACACACTCTTGCGCCACAGCAGTCGAAACTTGAAAGGAATGCAGTAGAATGTAATGAAGTTGGCAAATGGCCTGACAGCAAGGCAAGTTGGGTTAGGGCACAACACACAACACAAACTCTACACACATGACGCTCACATGACACACAACACTCAAAATACAAGGAGAGGGTGGACACATACCAGAAACAGTAGGCGTTGATTAGGGTTGGGAGGAACAGTGCGTTGGCGCGCCTTATGGCCTGCTCCATGTTGGTTACACCGCCATCGCCCAACACAAGGCCGTTATACAGCCAAAAGGCGTAGGAAAACGATGGCTGCCAGATCGTGAGGTCCAGCGCCAGCTGTTGTGTGTCATGTTGTGTGTGTGTCGTGTGAAGATAAGAATGTTACATTCACACGAAGCTTGTGCATACTTGAGAAAGAGCGAAACCCAGAAAGGGCGATCAGCAGAGTAAAGTGAACCTTCTTCAGGGCGCGCTTGAGTGGGGAAGAAGAGGGTGGGACGATCCGGCGGAGTAGGTTGAAGAATCCGTAGCCGATGGGCGCAATCAAGCACGCTCCATACATGCCCATGCCCGCCGCACTGCAATATGGATATATTTATATATATTAATATTGATTTAAAAATGATAATTAGAAAATAAATGTGGCGCAGGAAGCCCGTACTGTCGGTAGTTTCGAGGGCGGTGGGTGATGCACTGGGCCACCAGGTCGCCGGAGCTAACCACGCAAAACGCAGTTACGCTTCGTGTGGCCACGGGGCGGGTCTCCAACAGGGTCGAGTAGCGATTGAACGCGCCGCGCAGCGCTTGGCCCAACATCGCTTACTCTTTGGGGGCGTAGTTTTGTTTCGATCGAAGGAAGCCCCCTTGTTGGTCGTGTCGGCGGGCAGGATACAGAGTAAAACGAAGAAGATGACGAAGAGACTCGTAGTCTATGCCGAAATAGGTGTAGTATTTGCGCCAGTGGGAGCCTCTGAAGTTCTGGATTTCATTGATTTCTCACACAATTCTGATTCACTTATCTTTGGGCTCTTAGGCTTCTAGCAAGAATGCACATACCTCGCTCAGAGTCTGGCCTTGTTGCTGGGCAGGGAGTTGGTGCGGAGGGCGGCCATGTTGATGGCCGTGAGAGCCAGCGAGGTGGGGAGGGGCGAGACCTTCCCGCAGCGCGCCTCGGCCTGCTCCAGCGTGAGGCAGTTGAGCACCCCGTAGATCACCGGCACGCCCGTGCTCAGCTGCGCATCCATGAGCCCTGTCGCACGACGCGTGTCAGCCAAGAGAACACACGCACACGCACACACGCACACACGCACGCACGGCACGACACACACCTTGAGCAACTGCATTGGAGATGCACTCAAAGTGGAGCGTCTCGCCCTTGATGAGGACGCCGAAGCAGAGGATGACGTCGAAGGCGCCGGACTCGGCCCACCGCTTGGCGGCGTAGGGCAGCTCGTAGGAGCCGGCGACCGCGGGCGCCGCGACGACGTTGGCCTCGGCCACGCCGGCCTTGACCAGCTGGGCGCGGGTCTGGTCGGCCAGCGAGGTGACCAGGTTCTCGTTCCAGGCGGTGCGAATGAGACACACGCGCAGCCGTGCGATGGCCTCGGCCGTGTCGGGCAGCGGCACGCCCAACGGCTTCTCCTTGCGCGGGTCGAAGGTGCTGACTACAGCGCTGCTGTGGTGAAGGGAAGACATGACTGCGTGTAGCGTAGAGATGGAAAAGATTTTAGCTTTGACGCGAGATGAAGTGAAGCACGTACGTTAGGAGGTGACCTGGCAGAGCAGAGGGTGGAGGAAGCAGACAAAATGCCAAGATGAGCTCAAAGACGATTAATGAGAAGAGTGTGGGCTGACTTTTTGATTTTCCTCTTTCTTTTCTTTCGGGCGCACAAGGAAAGCTCCGAGGAAAGTGAGCGTCGACAAGATCAACGACCAATAGGATTTTTGGCAGACACTCAGGCCGTTTGTCTGTACCGACGTCGTAGCTGGCTCAGCAGTCAATACTCGCCACAACCTCCAAAGCTCACACTAAAGAGACTTCCGATAACACTCTACGCCCCAAACTGAAAAACTGCACCTAATGACCTCGAAGCGTAACAAGCAGAAGACGGCCTGGGGTGGTTCATCAGCTTCATCGAGTGGTAGTGGGAGCGGCGTACCCACAGTGAGCCGGCGGACAATGGAAGACGCGCTGCTGTTGGCCCACATGCGGTGCGACGCCAACTGCAGCGCCGCAAACAGTGTGGCCCACGCCATAAACCGCTTCTGGAGTGGGTTGGGCCTCGACGCGCGCCGGGCGCTCACCAGCGAGAAGAAGCACGTCGTGCTGCAATCCCTCCGCAAGAAGCACCTCCACACCCGCAACTGCCCCTGCTGCCAGCACTCCAAGGTACGCACGCACCTTCATCCCTCACCCATACGATGATCATCGTCTTCTTCAGCAACACGTGTGGTGGATTTGTCGATATATCTCTTCCTTTCTCATGATTCTCGCTTCAATGCGCGGGCTCATTTTCGTGGCATTATCGTTTCATTCTTTTTCGTTTCGATGGAAAAGAAGCGAAAATAATCCGACCACCATTTTCTGCATTCCGTGCGAACCACAACACAAACCCAGGTTTTCTTCGACGGAGGAGCGCGCACGTACGAGCGCTTCTGCACCGCTTGGGAGAATCAGCCCGACGACGCCGGCCTCATCGACATTCACTCCCCCGCCATCCTGGGCGTTGACGAAAACACTGGTAACGCACACGACACGACCAACGACACGACACCACACGAATGAACACTTACATATGTATATAAAATGATAGAGGCGGACAAGTCGAAGCTCAACAAGAAAAAGAAAGGGGCGAAGAGCGAGAGCAAGCCTCGACCGCGGGGAGCCAAGCGCACGTTCCTCGACGAGCTCGAGGAGCGCGAGAATCGGATCCGAGAGGCGGAAGAGCGCGAGCGCGAGAGGGAGCGCGAGATCGAAGCCGAGCGCAACCGCAACAAGCCCGAAGAAAGGGAGGAGGACGTGGTCTACGTCGACGTGCCCACCATCTTCGGCGACGCGCTGTCGGTCAAGGTAACCATCACTTCCTCTCCTCTTCTTCTTCTGCACCTGACTGCTGCGAAGCCCTTCAGCTCTGCCGCCGCCGCTGCCGCCTGCGCTCCGTCGCTGTTTAGTGCTCTCGTGGGGCTGAAGTGATCGGTTGTGTTCGTGTGTGTGCGAAAGGGGAGAGGAGGATGCGGCGGTGGATCGATTGGCGGCGGGGCGGAGGTGCATGGTCAGCGTATCAATCTGACGATCGTCTATGTTTGTGCACACCATCGGGTCAGGCTGGCGTGATTTCGTTGAAGAGCTCCGAGATCGCCCGCGATGACCTCTGGACATTCCTCCTGGAGCGGTATGAGCGCGACCACATTTCTGTTTTTTTTTCCCATTCCCAATAACTAAGAAACTCTTATGCAGCGAGAACGATTGTCAAGCGAAGAACAAGCAGCACTACAAGAAGTGCGAGATCTGCTCATCGTACCACGTGTTCGAGGTACTGGTTCTGCTTCAATGATGAGTTTTATTGTATTTTGGAGTTCACTGAATGGGGGCTCCCCACAACTCCAGCTGTTTCTGTTCCACACATTCTTCGACAACGTGAAGAGAGCCCAAGTGGACGAGATCAGGCGCCAGCATGCCGAAGCCTGCGCCAAGCTCCTACTCGAAGAGGAGCACAACAAGAAGTCCAACAAGAAGACAACGTACGTGCCTGAGTCTTGAACGATGAAGAACTCGTCAACTGAGTGTTCAACTGTTCAATTCGCACACACCAGGTCCAAGTCCAAGAAGCGCAAGGAGCGGCGCAGTCGAAAGGAGGCGTGCGATTGCAAGTGCCATGACGGAGGGCAAGCCGCCCCCACCGCATCGCCGGTGGTCGACCACCCCGTCCAGGCGGCAGACGCCGACGGAAGCGGCGAAAGTGGTAACGAGGTAAGCGAAGACGAGGTGCGGACGGACGAAGGCCAGAACAGCGATGGAGACCTCGACACCTTCGTGTCAGAAGAAGACGAAGAAGAAGAAGAAGACGAAGAGGAAGTCGAGGCTGGAGATGTGTCGACCGAAGAAGAACAAGAACAAGGCCAGGAATCCGAGGAAGAGCCGGAGGTGCGAGTTGAGCCACAGCAACAAATTAGACACGAGGTCGATGACGGTCGAGGGTGGACGAAGCAGACCAACCGGAAGAAGGCCAAAAAGGCCGCTAAACCCGAAGTGGCGGTGCTGCCCGCAAAGACGTACGCCTTGTCATCTCTCGGTAGTTGAACAGCGGCGGCCCACAAGTTACTGACCAGCAGTGGCTCGGGGTGGTACCAGGTGTCAGCCGGGACTCAGCCTGGCGGTTCCGACCAGGAGCATTCCGACGCCCAATCGTGTGACCACGCCGCCCAGCACAGCGCCCGCCCTGCAGACCAACTCGGCCCCGAGCCTCAAGCGACACACTCCGTTCGCCGAGATCGCGAAGGAGAAGCACAGGTTCGTTTCCAGATTCGCACTTCTTTCTGTTTCTCTTGGCACTCATCTTGGTCTGTGATGATGTTGTCTGCAGGAAGCAAGACGATGGAAACCATCTGTGTCTGAACCAACTGCACGATCACAACCACGCACTTCCCAACAAGCCCGTCGATACTCAGCCCAAGCAATCATTCCCGCTGGCGGCGCCAGCGTCGGCCACTCCGGCTGCTGCGGCGCCGGCTCTCCCCAAGAAGCCCCAAACCTCCGCTGCGGCCTCGACCGCGAAGCCGGCGCCCATCGTACCGGGGCCGCCCCCTCCCCACTTCCCCTACTGGAGCCGACACCACCACAACGTGATCCCCAAGGTACTCCCCTGATTGGTGCTTTAGTTAGTGGATTGGCGCTTTGATTGTAATCGGCTGATTGTTGGTTGGTTGCGTGGCTGCAGAACTGGGTGTGGAAGGCCAAGAAGGAGGAGCAGTCGGCGGCCGAAGCCAAGGCGCAGGCGCAGGCCAAGGCGCTCGAGGAGGAGCGCAAGAGACAGGAGCGGCAGGAGAAGATACGCAGCGCCGCTGCGGTCTTGAAGGAAGCGGTACTCTGGCTCTCGCTCGTGTGGTACCGACACAGATCAAAGACATGTAGCTCACAACTAGACTGTGTGTTGCGTGCCATTCATCGTGCGTGTGTGTGTGTTCAAGATCCGTGAGGCTGGAGATGCCAGCGATGTGAGCTTCATGAAGGAGACTCTCAAGGAGCTCAACGCCCAAGCCAACGCCAAGTTCTGCTGCGATTGCGCGTTCGACAAACCAGAAGACTCCGACAAGCAACGACAACAGACGGACAGGTGAGCCTACCGTCAGCCTACCGAGTGCATCGCCATCAGAAAGACTCACCTTGATCCTTGATGTTGTCTCGTTGTTGGGTTGCGTCGCAGTGGCCCGGCGTGCAACGTGCCCGATTGCCGTGACGTCGACTGCTGCTACTCCCACTTTGACGGTCCTTCGCTGTTCAGCGTCGACCCGGTCATGTTCCCCTTCTCCCACAACTACGCCTCCTCGCTCGTGTCGTCGCCCTCGTCGTGGCCTTCTTCGCCCACACTCGACTACAGCTATCAGTTCTCCTCATACGCCGCAGGGGAGCCCTGTGCGGACTCTCTGCACCATGGCCACCACCAGCCTTGGCTCCTTCACTCGTACACCTGACCTCGCAGGGTCTACTGCCGCACCAACATGCTTGTTCAAATACTGGTGTGAGAAAAAACTGTTCGTTGCTGCCCTGCTCCAGCCCCTGCATGGCCTTGGCGCACGTGGCCTGGACGTGCCATCTTCTACCGCCGTTGGCGGCTAGCCCGAGTTGCTCGACGTGTTGACGATCTTGGAGGAGAAAAGAAGGTGTATTTGGTGTCCGTGCGAGCGGTACTGAGTGAGGAGGCACAGACAAATAAGGAAAGTGAAAGAGAGAGAGATCCAACACCCCCCTGCAAACACAATGTGCATGTCAGTCGTGGATGTGCAAGTTGAGTTTGATCTTGTTGAGCTTGAGTTTCGCCGTGGGCACAGCCTTGGTGAGGAAGTCGGCCAGATTGTTGTTTGATGGAACGTAGTGTACGGCGATGTGTCCGGCCTGGAGGTTGCCATGAATGAATCCTTCCTTGATGCTGAAGTGCTTGAGGTGTGCGTGATAGGTGAATGGCGGTTTCTTGATGATGTGGAGAGTTGATTGATTGTCACAGAAGATGTCAGTTGGCAGATTGAGAGAGAGACTGAATGGAATGTAGAGCTTCTGGAGGTAGAGTGCTTGATGGGTGGCGTCGGTGAGTGTGATTAGTTCGGCTTCCGTTGATGAGAGAGCGATGACCAGTTGTAGCCTTGAGTACCAGGCTATGGGACCGCCAGCAAGGAGAGTGATGTGCCTGGAGACGGATTTCGTGGTGTGCTTGTCAGTGCCGTAGCTGGCGTCGCCATGTATCCTCAGTAGGAGCTGCTCAAGGGGCTGGTTGAGTTGAGAGAGCGTCATCACATGGCTCGAGCAACGCTTGTAGCACACAGTCTGCTTGATTGTACCAAGGAGGTAGATCAGGACATGCTTCACAGCAAGGAAGTGCATGTGGTCATACACACACAAGAAGTGTGTGAGGTAGACAACAGGATAGAGGATGTCTGACCACATGGAGAGTGCAATGTAGAGGAGCGCACCAACAATGGTGCAGTACTTGAGTTTGAGGCAGTTGATAGGAGTTGAATCAATGACCTCAAGGTTGCAGCTGGCCAGAAGTGGCGTAGAGAGTGGCTTGCTGTCAGAGATGCCTAAGTCTAGAGTGAGTTGTTCAATCTTGCCAGGCTGTGAGAGATTGATGGTGCCACATTCCTTGTTGTGGATGACCTTGATCCTGAGTATTGTGGTGACAGGGCCTATAGGAGTGAATACTAAACTCTGTCTTTCCAATCTTTCCAACTTTTAAAATAAACTCCTTTGTTCACTTCCCAATTCATCAAAAAAAGCTTCCTCCACTAGGTGTGTGCTCAATGACAATCACCACCATGCAAATAAAATAAAGAACACTGGCTACCCCAGTAATCCTCACATTATGCCAACCACACCAAACTAATTTGACTTTGACTGCTGGCCCTGTTACAGTATCATATCTCTCATTATGCTGGAATTTTGCTCTGCCCTATCTCTCAGAACCATTTTTGTGTTATCAAAACTAGTTTTATGAGCTTAAACTCACAAACAAAATCACTTTTCAAAATGACTGGACCTCTCATTTCAAATGACCACAAGTTTATGGTGCATAAAGATAAAAATTGACTCTTGGTTAAATCCCAGCAGCCATGCTTTTTTCCTTTTATGGTTTCCATGTGCTGGCCATTGCTGTGGGCAGGATAGGAACGAAAAAAAAACGTGTGTAGTCATCATGTACACATTCACAATAAAGTAAGTGTCTGGTTGTGTGTATTTTTGGTTGTCACATACATTCATGATAGAAATTGGTCATTCCAGACCTTGACTGAAGTGCTGGGAGTGGACACCTAGACCATGTGGGGGCTCATCCAGTTGTGGACACTCATCCAGTTGTGTACACATTCTTGTTCTCCAAGCCACAGTTGTCCATATGGAGGTTGAGCACTGGAGGCTGATTGCCAGACTGCTGCATGACCTGCCTGTGATGAAACTGCACCAATTCAGGGAGAAGACAAGCTGGGGCATGCAGCTTGCACTCAAGATCGCCCAGGCTGGCAGCTTGCTGTGCAACCACAAGTTCTTGTTGCAGAAGTTCCAAACAACAACCAAGGCAGCAACCCTCTTGTCAAGGTATCTATTTTTGTTCTTCTCTTTTGATCTCTCTTGTACTTTAATGTCATTTTATCAATTGGTACATTTTTCACACCTGCTAAGCACTGACCCTTTTTTGTGAACACTTGGTTCTGAGTGCTTGGTCCAGGCCCTCTGCACCTGCAAGACTGCAGTGCTTGATGTTGACCAGTGATAACCTGGTGCTTGAGGAGATAGTGGATAGAGTGGCTGGGGACAATGGGAAACAGCCCAGCCTGCAGGGAGAGTTGCTGAAGGTATAGAGGATGTGAGCAGCAGGGATGTGGTGCATGGCCTGCCACACCTGCTGCTGCACCACAGCAGGAGGCTGGACCAAGCCTGCTGGTTGACTGCCACAATACACAACCAAGCACACTCCCATGTGGTCAGATCAACAGTAGTTTGTTTGTAGAGTTCAGTGCAAACCAGTCTGCACCATGAATTTGGATCTTGGCAAAGGGGAAGATGGAGGACACCAAAGGCCAGGCGCCAAAACATGTTGGACGAAGTGGGATTCGAACCCACGCCTGGAGACCCAGACTACGACCTGAACGTAGCGCCTTAGACCAACTCGGCCATCCGTCCTGCGATAAAAGATTAATAGAACAGTGATCTCCACAAACCAAAACTGAGGAAAGCCTGGCTTGCAGGGGGCTGGCTCATTGATAGGCTTGTTGGCAATGAACCAAGGACATTCTGTCTACCTCTTAAATAGCACAAATCAAGCAAGAGATCACACAACAACACTGCCATGCCTTCTCCTCATGTCTTCAGATTGAGGAGAACCAGAGGGGGTGGGTAGCTGCCTTGGTTAAAGCAAAGGAGGCTTTCAAACCAGTGGTTGATAGATATGGGAGAAAAGAGGAAAAAAAGATGATATCGCCCCACCCAGATTTGAACTGGGGTCCCAGGTACCAGAAACCTATATGCTGCCAACTACACCATGAGGCGCTCTTATATGTTGCCATTTTGGTTTCCTTCTTTCACTTACACTCACCTCAAATTCTCTTGGAACCGTGGCGTTCTCTGTGCCGTGGTCGAAGCCGAGTGTGCTGCAAACAAGCCTTGTGTGTGTTGTTTTTACTAAAATTACTCCATGTGATCCTGCTCTGCGGCAGGAGTGCTCGGAAAAATGGGAGAGCCACAGCAAGGGAGTAGAACTCCTGTTGGCGGCAGCCGTGGTGTGCGTGGAAAGGGAAGAAGTGCTGTTGTTGCATTACTCGTCCTTGGCGAGGGGCTTCCTGGCGAGGAAGAAGTGCATGGGCGTGAAGACGTCCTTCTTGCCACCTAGGTTGAGGATGAAGATATCAGGATCGATGTTGGTGTGTGCGCGCCATGTGCAGTGGGTGCGCGGCGTACCCTCGACCAGGTCGTCGGCGGTCTCGCAGAGCATCTGGGACACCCTGGTGGTGCCCTCGGGGGCGATCTTGAGGTACTCGAGCGTCGACACAGCCATGTGGGTGACGCTGCGGCCAATGCGGGTGTGCTTGAAGCCTGTGGCAATCATCAATCACGAGATGAGACGGCGGTGAGCGAGTGGCGCGCAAGTCGTCGCAGCGAGGTTGGCCGATCGAGGAGAGAGCTGGTACCAGTGAGGGAGAAGGAGCCGGAGAGCGACAGATACCAGGGCGTCTCGGCGTCGGCGTTCTTGGCGACGTCGACGTTGTCGATGATCTCGAAGCCGGCCTGCTTGAGGGCGTCGGCGATCTGCGATGGCTTCTCGAGTTCGGGCAGACCGTTGCCGATCTCAATACCTTCACGTGGGAAGAGAAAGAGCAGAAGAAGAAGAAGCGGAAAGAGGCAAAGAAGAAGAGCGAGGGTGTCAGAGCAATCCCAACAGAGCACGTGCACACGCAGCGACGCCTAATTGGCCAAAGCTATTTCGGGGCGGGTAAACCGGCGAACACGTGAAACGCAAATAAAAAGAAATAAATAGAATTTATCAAAGTTTGAAATAGGGAAATAAATATATCCATAAACATAAATAATAACAGGTGGGAAAGTGAGGGTACCCTTCTTGATCTTGACGTGGTCGGGGTCGTTCTCGTCGAACGACTCAGTGACGACCCACTCGTAGGTGGCGTAGAGGCCGCCGGGCTTGAGGACTCGGAAGAGCTCCGAGTAGACGCCCACCTTGTCGGGAGCGTGGCAGGTGGCCTCCACCGAGTACACCGCATCGTAGGTGTTGTCCTACACGATCGATCCATGCAGATTTGATCGAATTAGTCGAAGAAGGAAGCGATTTGCGACAAATGGAGGAAATCGTCGATTGAAGTTTTGTGTAGCGGATGCAATGTGAGAAATGTGCGTACCTCAGCGGGGATGTGCATGAAGTCGGCCTTCATGTAGTTGATGAGGTGCTCGAGGCGGGCCTCCTTGGTGAGGAGCTTGGCACGGCCGATCTGGTAATCGTTGTTGTTGAGTCCGACGATGTTAGCCTCGGAGAAGCGGGCGATGCAGCGCGCGGGTCCGCCCACGCCGCAGCCGACGTCGAGCGCCACCTGGCCCTTCTCGAGATGAAGGCGGTGGGCCAGGTACATCTCGTGGCGGGCGATCGAGGCCTCGAAGGACTCAAAGCGATGACGCGGCGCGAAGTGGAACGACTGACCCCAGCCGTACTCGTAGAAGTTGGTCACGAGATCGTAGAAGGAGTTGACGAGGGTCTCGTACTTGGCCTTGCGCTCCTCCACGCTGGCATCCTCGGCGGTAAACAGCTTGATGTAGCCGTCGACCTCCTTCTTGACCTGGTCGCGGGCCAGCGACTCGTAGTTGATGATGGTGGTCGCGCGCTTGTTGTCTCCCTCCATCGACATGATGTTGTACTGCTAGGTGCGATTGGAGCGAACAATTAGAATGAGATTGCAGAAAAAATCGAACGCAATCTTCGACGGAAAGATTGAGCGTTTGATTGCCCGGGGTTGCGTGATTGAAGACGAGTGAGGGTGACGAGGGAGGAACGTTACCGGTGGTGCGCTGAGCTTGAAGGAGTGGAAAAAGACAACAAAGTTGCGGCCGTGTAAATTTTTGGTTAGTATCACCTGGCCTATGAAAAATTACACGTTGCCCGTGCGGCAGCCATTGGGCCTTGACCCCTGCAAATGCGCCAATGTGCAAGAAGAGAAGAAATTTTTGTTTCTTTTATTCTCTTTAAAAAAACATAAAAAAACGATTCATCGTGGCCCAGAAAAGGTCTGGTATCTTGCAGGGCTAGGCAGGGCAACTTCAGAAACAAGAGTAAAACGAAGAGTCTGGCAATTTTGATGATACGCGCTCATCCCCAGCAATAAGAACAAGCATCCGTGGTCCAGTGGCAAGATTTCCGCCTGCCACGCGGGAGACCCGGGTTCAATTCCCGGCGGATGCATATCTTTTTGCCTTCATCCCAACAAAAGTTAGTGGGTGCACAACTGAAGGACGACCAGAGGTAAGGGCCCAGACTCAGTATTGATGTTTCCAATAAAGGCTGGCGCTTGTTTCAAAATTCAACTGTCATCACCAAAGTGTAAATTGCCCAGTTTGGTCAAAGGCAAGAAAAGAGACATTTCAACCAAGAATTTAATGTCTAGCTCAGGGAAGCCACACCAGCCCCCTCCCCAGACAAAAACTGGCACCACTGGACATGAGGCTTAACATGATAGGCACAAAAGATGTTCTCGCCCCACCCAGATTTGAACTGGGGTCCCAGGTACCAGAAACCTATATGCTGCCAACTACACCATGAGGCGCTCTTATATTTTGGTGCAAATTTTTCTTGTTTTCCTTTTTTTGCTCTTGTTGCGCCCAATTTCACTTGCACTTTTCTCTCCTTTCTGATTGGGCCTGTGGTCCGTATTTCCTGAGTGGGTGACCGTCTGTGCGACGTATGACCTGAACCACACGAAACACAAAACACTAGTCACAACATGTTGCGAGCACTCGCCACTGGAGCCGCAATGAACGGAATAGAAGACGAGGTACCCTCCCGCCTCTTCTTTCTTTTTCTTCTTTCTTCTTGGTTCTTCGTTCTCCTTTTCTTCGTTCTTTGGCTCAAGCCATTCGCTTTGGGGGGGGGGGGATAGGGAACGGGCCTCGCCGCCGCGACGGTCCTTAGCGGCAGCCAGCACCAGGCCTCGGCCAACGATGTGGAGACCATTTCCGCAGCACTCATGACCAAGGTTAGTTAGCACCCTTTACCTGACCTGCGTGTGTCGTGTCGTGTCGTGCGGCAGTGTCGTGTTGCATGTCTTACGTTATTTTTATGCTGACGTGCGTGCTTTGCTTGCCACCGAAGATGGTGGTCAAGTTTCAGGCCTTGAAGTGGGTCGGCTCGGTTGAGGTCAAGGGCGTCTTCAGTTCGCCCGTCCTCAGCTCCTCTTTCTTCGTCCAGGGCCAGTTCGGCGGCATCATCGGTAAGCGTGTGCGTGCGTGTCGTGAGTGTGTCGTGTTGTGTGCGTGTGCGTGTCGTGTCGTGTGCGGCACACACGTGACGTCTTGAGCAGGGAGCTCGAGCGTGGAGGAGACGACCGTGCTGCAGCCCGACGAAAAGGAGCGGGCCAAGTGGTGGTCCAAGAAGCTCAAGGAGAAGCTCAAGTACATGAAGCAGAAGATCGAGAACATCGCCTACGGCCTCAAGGACTTCCGCCTCACCGGCCGCCTCGGCGTCATCTTCAACCTCCTCGCACCCACCATTCTCACCGGTGCTCTCTTCATCACCACACGCACGTGTCGTGTGCGTGTGTCGTGTGTCGTGTCATGTGTGTCGTGTCATGTGCGGTGCGTGTCGTGTGCGTCGTGCGTCGTGTGCGGTGGTGGCTGACTTGGGAGCAATAGCGGGGATCACGCTGGGGTTCGAGATCAAGATCGAGGTGCTGACGGAGAGCATCATCGGGTCGATCACGACCGAGGAGTGGAGCCAGCGGATGCGCGAGAAGGTCCAGCGCAAGCTGCAGAAGCAGAAGGCACGCCAGGGCTCGTGCGGCCTGCTCGAGAAGGTGGCCCCGTGCGTGGCCAAGCGGATCGAGGACCGCAAGGAGCGCCGACTGCAGCGCATCGGCAGCGAGAACGAACTTCTCACCGACGACGAGCTGCGTGCGCGTGGTATGTGCGTCGTGCGTGTTGTGCGTCGTGCGTGTGCGTGTGTGCGTGTTGTGTCGAGTGCGTGCGGGTTGAGAATCAGCTCTCTGTTGACGCGCACAAAACAGAGAAAGAGCGGGACGACATCGCGATCGAGAAGATGATGCTCTCGCTGCAGGCCACCAAGATGAAGATCGATTCGCTCGGCTGGATCGGCTTCGTCCGGGTGCAGATCGACCTGGGCCTCCTCTCCGTCTACCTCCAAGGTACCGCCTAATCGACAACACAACGCAACTGTGTGCCGTGTGCGTGTCGTGTCTAATGCGTGTGCGTGTGTCGGCCGCCAGTGAATTTCTTCCGCGTGGCGACCCAGCTGGCGTTCGACGTGGAGTCGACGCTCGCCGCCAAGAAGGAGCTGGAGGAGAAGCGCGCCGAAGACCCCCAGATCTCGGCCGGGAAGAGCTCGGCGGCCTCCAAGCCGGCCATCATCGGCACCTACCGCAGCGGCAGCGGCAGTTCGACCGACCTCGCGCCCCAGGAAGCGAAAAAGAACGAACACGAAGCCGCAGACGACAGCGAAGAAGAACGAAAGCGACGAGGAGGCGGTGAGTCAGGGCCGGTCGTGGCGAAGGAGGACAACGAGTGGGTCAAGGCCTGGAGCCGGATCGTCGCGCTCGTGGACCTGCCCGACAAGAGCGAAGAGGACTCGACAACTGCAGAGCAGTCGAAGGCCGTACAGAAGGCCGACGGCAGCGGCGGTAGTGGAATCGGGGCCGCGGGCAAGCGAGAGAGGGAGGGCCTGCGGGAGCGGGGCTTCAAGAAGGGCCTCGAGCTGGGCATCAACAGCATCAACAAGGTCTCCAAGGCCAACTTCAAGGGCATCCACGCTGGCGGTAACATACTCTACTCCAACCCTCGTGTCATTCACAATTTCAGTTTTACTCACTGTGGCGCTGGTTGTTCTGGTGCAGCCAAGGTGGGCGCTTCGTTTTCGTTCACGGTGCTGGGCTTTGGCATCCAGACGTCTCTCGAGGCCGAAGTCATCTCCGTGCGCACATTCTAGCACCCTCGCACAACGTGGGACCTGTAACACCCCTTGTTTTCTCCCGATCCAGGCCTTTTCCCTTTTGTTTGCCCAAATCAAAAAACCAAACCCAAATTCTGGTTGCGGTTGCTTCGGTTCCTAAAAAGGAGTTGACCATTGCCCAAACACAGACATGACCGTGTCTGCTGGCAAGACACCAGGTGATAGCCCGGGCGAAGAAGAAGAAGAAGCAGAAGCAGAAGATCGCCCTCACTGCCTGAAGCTTCCACTTTGGGGCGGTGGATGATGGAAGAGGAGGCAGCAGAGAGTTCCGGGGGGCTCTCGGCTCACAAGTCCAAGAAGGAGAGAACAAGCTCCACTTCGTCAGCATCATCATCTTCAAAGGGGGCGGGCGAGGAGAAGAAGACAGACAAGGATGATAGTAGTAATAATAACGACCACATCAAGAAGAAGAGACACAAGAAGGATCGCGCCAACAGCCACACCTGTGACGAACGATCGGAAGGCATGGGGATCGACATCTCCCGGGAGAAGAAGGCCATCATCGAAGGACGGGCGCGGGCGAGCTCGTTCTGCAACGGCAAGAAGAACGACCCCTCCACACTAAACGTCAACCTCATCCGCCGAAGCTCTCGATCATCATCTTCTTCATCTTCTTCATCTCCACGATCATCGCCCTCGCCCTCGCCGCGCCACACCCCCGCCTCCCCCCCGCTGCCCACCATCTCTATCACCCGGACAGCGTCTTCGTCTTCTTCATCTTTTTCTTCTTCATCTTCTTCTACAAAATCTCAACGGGCATCTTCATCTTTTTCTTCTTCTCCCTCCGCCACCTCGGCGCTGGTCCACACCCTGGCTAAGCTCAAGCCCTCCTCCACCACCACCTCAACCACCGCCGCAGCCCCCGCCAGCGAGCCCCTCAACCCAGCGCGGCTCGCCGAGCTCGAGGTGGAGATGAGCAAGGAGTACTTCCTCAACTGCATCCTGCGCGACGACAACGCACGCACCATCTTCCTCCAGTTCCTCCGCAAGCGACACTGCGCCGAAAACCTCCTCTTTTGGTTCGTGTGTGTGTCGTGTCGTGTCGTGTCGTGTCGTGTCGTGTCGTGTCGTGTCGTGTCGTGTCGTGTGCGGCGTTGCGTGTGTGTCGTGCTTACGTTGTGTGTCGTGTGTGCAGGTTGGAGGTGGAGGACTACATGAAGCTCGAAACGCCGGAGGAGCAGGAGGCGCGTGCGCGTGCCATCTTCGAGCAGTACATCCTGGCCGACTCGCCGTTCGAGGTCAACCTGAGCCACAAGCTGCGGGAGGAGGTCACCGCCGGCATGCTCCACCCGAGCCGGGAGACCTTCACCTCGGCCCAGAAGTCCATCTTCCTCCTCCTCGTCCACGGCACCTTCGACTACTTCCTCCGAAGCGACTTGTATAAAATGTATAAAGGTACGCGTACATACATGCGTGTCGTGTCGTGTGGTGAGTGTGGTGTGGTGTGGTGTGGTGTGGTGTGGTGTGGTGTGGTGTGGTGTGGTGTGATGAGTGTCGTGCGGCGTGTGCGGTGGCGATGAGTGCTAATGGTGGGCGCACGCGTGCAGAGAATCGGGACATCGCGGGTCTGCTGACGGCCCGGAAGCGGGGGGAAAGCTTCACGAGGGGCGACGACGAGGCCTTCGAGTTGGCCGCGGCGGCTGTGGCGGCCAACAAGGGCTGTTGCATCCTGAGCTAAGCGAGGCCGCTCCACCTGGGCACCACCTGCGGCTTCACACCACCACCTCCACCACGACGAACACGAACACGATAACGAACACCAAAGAGCGAAAACGAGAAGAACGCGTGAGACCACGCCCCGTACCAGAGCCAACCCTAACTCTCTTTCCTCCTCGTCGTCGCAGAGTACGATTTTGTAATTTGAATGCTTTAAAACAACGATCACGCGTGATTCTCTCTCTCTCGTGTGTGTGTGTGTGTGTGTCGTGTGTGTCGTGTGGGTTGCGTGTGTGTGTCGTGTGGGTTGCGTGAGTCGCATCAGCGCTGGCGTGCGTACCTGGCCAGTCACTGGGGTGGCGGCCGGAAGGGCTCCTGGTCCAGGGTGGGCTTCTTCTTGGGGATGGCCCAGTGCATGACCCGCTGATGCTGCTGCATGTCTGTACACAACACACGGCCGCAAAAACGCACACGCACGACCGCACAGGCACATAAACGCAAGGTGAGTGAGCACAGTTGCGAGTGGAGTGTGGTGTGGGTGGAGTGGGTGGGTGTACCGAGCCAGGTGTCGTAGGACAGGTTGAGGCCGGCGGCCAGGTAGCGGTCGTACTTGGCCCGTGACTCGGGGTCGCTCAGCACCTCGTAGGCCCGGTGCAGCCGCGCAAACTGCTCCGCTGCGTGCTGGCCCTCGTCCTGGCTTGTCTGCTGTCGATCCGGGTGCACGCCCTGCAGATAAATAAAATAAATTAAATAATAAAAATAATAAAAATAGTCCTGGTCCTATGGTACCTGCAAACACACAAATGAGTTGAACAATAAACGATTAGTTCTGTGGGAGGCGGCGTACGCGGACGCGTGCTTTGAATTCGGCCACGATTTGCTCGCGCGTGCTGTTCGGATCGGCCCCTAGAGCGCCGTAGAAGTCATCCATGTTGTTTCTTGTGAGGATGTTGGCCATGTTCAAGTCCGGGTGTGGCTGCGCGACCCCGCTCATCTTGTTGTCAAACAAAATTGAAAAAGTTGTAAAAGAAAAGATAAAGGATACAGAACTTCGAAGGAATGTCGCGAATGTTATCAAATTTTACGAAGAAATAATCGCGCAAGCCCATTGGGGCAGAACGAGGAGATATTCGATTTCCGGTTGGCCAGATTGTGTAACGGCTAGGTCAAAAATCATTTATAAAAGGATTTGTGAAGAGTTGGCGAGAAAGAAAGAAGGAGTGGCGTGCGTTCACAATCGAGTGCACCTCACGAATGGACTACCTCGGCTACCACCCACCACAGCTTGCTTCTTCGCCATCATTGATGAGCGCCGATGTTCGATCGCCCGTGGTGGGCGTGGTGAGGTCACGGAGCCTTTTCGAGAGCATTGTGGTCACGCCTGAACATTTCCTTCCTTCCTCTGCGTCATCTTCGCCCTTCTCTGCTTCGGCTACTTTTTCGACCTCGGATCAATCGAATGGGTCGCAGGAGCACGGTTTCATGTCGAGCGCCATGTCTACATCTACGACAGATCTGATGGAATTTTGCTCCCCCTCAAAGAAGCATCGCCCCGACGCTGGGCATCAGAACAAGACGACGCTCCATCAGAAGCGCAAATGGGATTCCGTAGACGATGATGAGGAGGAGGAGGAAGTGGGCGAGGAGGAGGAGCTCAACGACTCATCGGACGATGAAGATGAAGCGCATCCTGATCTTCGACAGCAGCATCGACCGCGCGAGGAGCGCAGCTCGACCGTTATCGTTTCCTTCCCTGCCTCGCACGAGATGGACAAGTCGACCAAGCACCAGAGAGTGGTCCAGAAGAAGCCTGACGCAAGGGACATCCCGCGAGCGCGACACATCATCTTGCGCTTTTGCGACTCACAACAATCGGTACGCAATGTGTTCCATCCTCTACGCTGCACACAATTCTTTATACTGACGGGTTTCTCTCGCGCAGGTGGAGGCTAAGATCGTGTGCAAGGAGCCGTGGGGCGTTCGCGTGGAGGTGCTCGAGGAGCGGCCCGATCTCAGCCTGTCGATTGGAACGCGCTACTGGGCTCGGTTCACCGGCACCGTAAGCCTCATCACCAACATCCCCGTCCTGGAGGCCATGCATCCATGCTAGTGCAGCGTTGGCGGCCCCTTCGTCGTGAGAACAACAAACCACCTCTTTTCCACCCTATGTACATTTTGCAGCTCGTTGCTGGCCAAGCTTCCTTCAGTCAGCTCGAACATGCATGTTGATTGTTTTTCAGACTTCCTCGAAGTTTTTGGGGCGTAGAAAATCACTTTCTATTCATCAGATCAGATTTTACAGCGATAGATGGACAGCTTGCTGGGTGCCTACGGCACTGGTGAGGAGGAAGATGAGATGGGTCTAGTGCCAGTCCCTTCTCTCCCGGATTCAGCCCCGCCGCCGCTCGCCCCCACGCTCTATGGCCAAACACACAATCCATCAAATTTCTTCGCCTCGCAGGCAGCGGGGGCGATGGATCAATATCGCCTCCTGTTCCAACAGCACCAGCGAGGCGCTAACGTTTGCTACTATCCCGAAGTGGGTCCCGATCCCTGCGTGGGTCCCAGCGTCAAGAGGAAATGGACTGGGGCTGCAGAGGCCCTGCCCGAGCCACATCAGCCGCGAGGCCCCGCTCAGCCACCTTCCAGCAGCCTGCGGCCCTACGAGGCCAAGAGGACGCGACATCAAGGAGCATCCAGCTTTTTTCACCTTCCCCTTCTACACGGCGAGGACGAGAAGCCATCTTCGTCTTCATCTCCGTCTTCGACATCTACCGCCCCTTCCTCTACGTTGCCGCTACTCGCCCCAACCCCGCCACCGTCTTCATCGTCAACTTCTGCTTCGTCTACGTCTACGTCAACGTCGTTGTCGTCGTGCACGGCGCGCCTGGTGCAGCCGCGGTTGCCCTCGACCCTCTTCAACCGCACGCGGCGCCCACAGAAGTCGGCGGCGACCGAGACGAGGCTCGTGCAGCGCATCACCCACCGCTTCTCGGGGCTCCACACGGCTCCCGTCAACACCTGCCGCTGGTCCTCCACACATGGTGCCTTCCACTCTCACCTCCACCATTGTCGCCTCCTTTGCACGTGCTCACTCGGATCGTGTGTGTTGTGCGTGTGCGGTGCGTGCGTGTGTTGCGTCGTGTCGTGTTGCGGATCGCAGGCGTCTTCATAGCAACAGCGTCGATGGACAAGACGATCCGGGTGTGGGACACGTTCCCGGCGGTGAGCCAGACGCCGGGCTGCGTCGCCACGCTGCGCGACCACACCGAGGCGGTCATGGACGTCCGATGGAACGCCGACAACACGCGCCTCCTCTCCGGAAGCTTCGACAAGACCGCGCTACTAACCGACCTCGAGACCTGCACTCCCATACACGTTCGCCGCACCTCCTTGCTCACCCTGTGTGTGTGTGTGTGTGTCGTGTGTGTGTGTGTGTGTCGTGTGTGTGTGTGTGTCGTGTGTCTCACACACGTATGCGTGACTGGTGGGTGTGCAGTCGTTCAAGCACAAAGAAATGATCACCACGGTCAACTGGCATCCGGAGCAGCCAGACGTCTTCTTGGCCGGTGGGTACCGCCACGGCGTCGTGTGCTGGGACTCACGCTCCAACAGGTACCTGCTTCTCTCCTGCACTACCTTCTTCACGCCCATCACAGAAAAAAGGAAAACAAGCAAAACTTCACCTAAAAAAAGAAGAGCGCCTCATGGTGTAGTTGGCAGCATATAGGTTTCTGGTACCTGGGACCCCAGTTCAAATCTGGGTGGGGCGATATCATCTTTTGTGATGTTTTTTCTTTTTCTTGTGGAAAATCGCTAAAATCTGTTCGCCAGTGTGGTTGCGCAGTACAAGGGTATCTTTGGATCTGTGCAGGCGATTGAGTGGCTGCACGGAGGGACTCAGTTCGTGACATCGTCAGATATCACCAAGCGCAATTCCATAGACAAGTCAATCCTTGTTTGGGACTTCAACCATGTACGCTCTCCTTGATCACGGCCTTCTCCACAGCTGGTGGCTTACGCTTCTTCTGCGCAGGGCACGGTGCTGTCGAACCAAGTCTACCAGGAGGCCTACACATGTCCCTCGCTGAGGGTCCACCCCGACGGCGCCCATTTCGTGGCCCAGTCCAACGCCGGCTACATCGCCATCTTCTCGTCTCAGCCGCCGTTCAAGCTCAACAAGTACAAGGTCGGTCGCCACACGCACACGCACACGCACCACCGCACACGCACCACCGCACACGCACCACCGCACACGCACCACCGCACACGCACCACCGCACACGCACCACCGCACACGCACCACCGCACACGCACACCACTAAGAGCCATGTGGGACGTGCAGAGATTCGAAGGGCACCAGGTGGAGGGCTTCCGCATCGAGTGCGACATTAGCCCCGATGGCTCGCTCGTGGCCACCGGCTCTGCCGACGGCTCCCTCCACCTCTACTCGTGGTCCTCCGGGAAGCCCATCAAGACGCTCAGCATTCGCCGCTCTCTGCCGACCGACATCAACGCCACGACCACCACCAACGGCGGCCTGGCAACGAACGAAGCCTGCACGCACGTCGCCTTCCATCCGCTTCATCCGCAGGTGATGGCCGCGTGCGGCTGGGACGGATCCGTGCTCCTGCTCGGCGATCACTGAGGCAAAAAACTAAAGATAAAGATAAAGATAAATACACATTCAAGAAAAGATAGGGAAAAGGTGCGAGATTGGTTGGGCTGGATGGACGAAGCTGCAGCGGAAGAAGGGGCGGTGATCTCCGTGGCAAGGGGTGGGGAAGAAGGAGGGGAGAAGGAGAGGCAGAAACCGCAGGCGGACGACGGCAGAGAAAATGGCGGTGGTGGGGTGGACTTTTCTGGTCTGCTGCTGTCGCCAGCGGTGGTGCGCGGCCTCACCCAGGCGGGCTACCTCCGCCCCTCACCCATCCAGCTCCGTGCCATCCCCATCGCCCGCTGCGGCGTTGGTACGCCCCTCATCATCGTGCCCCTCATCATGCGATTTATATCTATTTATTTTTCTTATTTAAATATAAATAGTTAAATAATTTATAAGTACTCAGCAGCGTTGTATTATTTATTAGTTCATAATTATGATTGAATTTTTTTATTGATTGCGTGGTGTAGACGTGATCGGCCAGGCCCAGTCGGGTACCGGCAAGACCTGCGTGTTCGGGGTGGTGGCCGTCGAGGCCGTCTCCGCCGACCTGCCCGCGCTCCAGGCCCTCCTGCTCGCGCCCACCCGCGAGATCGCCCTCCAGACCCTCGCCGTCGTGCGCGCCCTCGGTCCGTCATCTCTCCGTGAGTCGTGCGTGTGCGTGTGCGGTCGTGCGGTCGTGCGTGTGCGTGTGCGTGTGTGCACTCACCGCTTTCCTTGGCTGATTGCAGGGAAGTACGTGAAGGGCCTGCGGTGCGAGGCGTTTGTGGGCGGCACGCCGCAGGCGCTGGACCCGCCGCGCCTGCGAGCGACGCACATCGCCGTGGCCACGCCCGGCCGGGCGCGCGCCCTGCTGGCCGATGGCGTGGAGGCCCAGCGCGTACGGGTGGTGGTCCTGGACGAAGCCGACAAACTTCTCGACACCAACCTGCGCGAACAGACATTGTACGCACACACGGCACACGCACACACGACACAACACGACACAGACCGCACACAGGCACACACGCACACACGATACAACACGACACAGACCGCACACATGTACACACGACACACACGACACGGCACACACGGCACACACGGCACACACTCATGTGAGCTTGTAGAGACATTCTGGGCGTGTTGCCGCAGGCGAAGCAGGTGCTGGCCTTCTCGGCGACCTACCGCGCGGACCTGCTCGACACGCTCCACGGGCTGATGCGCAGCCCGCAGCACATCATCCTCTCCACCGACACACTCACCGTCAAAGGTTTGCCTCTCTTTCTTTTTCCCATTTTTCATTTATATAATTCTCCTTTTTTTTGGTTAAATATCTGTACATATTGACTATATATCAATTTTTATATATATTCAATATTTGGCTCGACAGACATTCGGCAGTACTACGCGGTGGTGCCGGGCAAGGGGACGCCGTTCATGGTGTTCAACGAGAAGGCCAAGACGCTCATGAACCTCTTCGACAAGCTGCCCTTCCAACAGGCCCTCGTTTTCACCAACGACAAAGCACGGTACAGACGAGTTGCGTGTTGTCGTGTATGTCGTGTGGTCTTCGTGTGCGTGTGCGTGTGCGTGTGCGTGTGCGTGTGCGTGTGCGTGTGCGTGTGCGTGGTGTTGGTGACTTTGGTTTCCCTGGGAAGGGGCCAGCAATTGGCGGATCGACTGAGCGACCGGGGCTGGCCGGCCGCGTTCCTCGCGGGCGCGCAGCTGCAGCACATCCGCGCCCACACCATGGCCGCCTTCCGCGAGGTCAAGCTCCGCATCCTCGTCTCCACCGACCTCGTACGTCCACCTCCCTCTTCGACCAACGCTTCAGCTAGCTCCAGTTGGCTCACCTGGTCACCTCGTCGTGTCGTGTCGTTGGTCGTGTCGTGTCGTTGGTCGTGTCGTGTCGTTGGTCGTGTCGTGTCGTGTCGTGTCGTGTCGTGTCGTGTTACATGTGCGGCTAGGTGGCGCGTGGAGTGGACGTGGAACGGATCAACCTGGTGGTCAACCTGGACGTGCCGTACGATGCCGAGACCTACCTCCACCGCGTCGGCCGCACCGGGCGCTTCGGTTCGTGGCCTCCTCCCTTGTCCATTTTTTTAAAATTCTATTTTCTCTTTTGATTTTTCATTTCTATTTTTTGTTTGTAATTAGCCATTGTTTGTTTATTATTATTATTCACATGTGGTGCGGGGCAGGCGCTCAGGGAGTGGCGGTGACGCTGGTCACGGAGAAGGAAAGGCCCGAACTTCTTTCCCTCGCCGCAGCCACGGGCGCGGCTCCGGAGCCATTGCCGCGGGAGCTGGGCGGACCTGCTCCCGCGACGGCCGCCACCGAGCGTCCAGCGACAGCCAAGTCGGCGGCAGCAGCGGACAGCGAGCGAGCGCACCGACGCCACATGCGGCCAAGGGACCGGCAGAGGAGAGCGAAGGCGAAGAAGACGGAGACGAAGATGAAGAATCTGTGAGCGAACGAGAAGAGGAACGCAAGGACGAAGAATGCGACGACGACAACGAGGAGGGACAGGAGAGCGAAGAAGAGGAGGAGGAAGAAGAAGACGAAGGCGAAGAGGAAGACGAAGAGGAAGACACTGAACCAGGCATGGCTTGGGTCAATCATGGAGACGGGTGGCGATGGACTGGGCCTGCTCATCACCCTCTTCCTCTGCACTACCCCTCCTCTGGCCTTCCTACACCACCACTGGCGCTGCCATCATCACCATCACCACCTTTGGCCCCTTGCTGTGGGTGTTGCTGCTGCAGCTACTGGGGTGGACCACCACCACCACCTTCTCCCTCCTATGTGCTGTGCTACTCGCCAGCCTGCTATGCCTCTCCACCACTACCACTACCACCACCATCACTCCCACCAGCTCCAGCTGGTGAGTGGATGGGCAACTATGGCCACACAAGCCTCTACACCAACTTCTACACTACTGCTGGAATGTGAAAAAATGCCACACTACATACATTACATGCCCAGCTGACAAGGGGGCTGTCAAGAAGATGTGGGAGGAGGGAAATAGAACTTGTACATCAGCTCGGTGTAGATGGCCTCGTCCTGCTCAAGAAAAGTGGCAAAGATGATCCGCTCCACCTTCTCCATGTTGTCTCCATGTTCGAGCCACTGTTACACGCGACACGACACACGCGGCACACAACTGAGGTGAGGAAGGCATTGTGGTGGTGGGTCGTGCAGAGGGCTGTTGACCTTCCTGACCGTGGAGAGGGCGACGTGCGCTGCGGGGCGAGAGGGGAAGCGGTAGGCCCCCGTGGAGACGCAGCTCAGCGCCACCGACCGCACGTCGTGCTCCACCACCCGCGCCAGGCAGCTGCGATAGGCCGCGTGGAGCAGCGGGTAGCCCTCCGCCTCGCTGTGCAGGTCGCGGTTGGGTCCGACCGTGTGGAGCACCAGCCTACACGGCAGCCCGTGCGCACCCGTCACCTTGCACTGCGCTCGCGCTCGTGTTATCAGCCGCACACGCACACGCACACGCACCACCGCACACGCACCACCGCACACGCACCTGGCCGTGGAGGCAGCCGCCCAGTGGCCTGCACTCCTCGAGCAGGCCGGGGCCGGCGACGCGGTGTATGGCCTTGTCGATGCCGCCGCCGCCGAGCAGGCTCGGTCGTGCGGCGTTGACGATGGCGTCGACCGCGAGCCGCGTGATGTCGCCGCGCCACAGACTCACCTACCGGCCAGCAGAGAGAGTGTCAGTGCGGGTCCGATGCTGGAAACGCGGTGGGCGCCACCACCTTGTCGTTGATGGCCTGGGATGGGGCGAAGGGCCGGCTCGGCCCGAATGCTGCGTCGTCGGCTTCGTCCAGCTGGCGAGCCGTGGTGCTGGTTGCGCAAAGCATTTAAATTGGCGTGGGCAAAGGGCCGATTGGGGCGGGGTCGTACCTTGTACCGCCTGCTGGTGGTGGTGGCCAGGGACGCGTGGCCACAACTTCAGACCAGGGAGCCAGCTCGGCCAGGAGCACCACCGACGCGCCCAGCTTGTCTTGCCTGACTTCTTCCATTGCGCAAACAAAAATATCAAAAAAATCACATCTTTTTTTTGGAAATCATCTTGACGAAACGCGTTTCGGATGTTTGGTGACATTTTAAAATGTTGAAACAGGCAAGCTGAGTGGCTATGTGTATTTCTTCAGTTCGTGGTGTGGCACTCGCGCCTGGTAGACCGCAAAATAAATAAATAAAGAAAATTGAAACTGACGCTATCTAGGCCATATGCCCGTTGATGGTGGTGTAGTGGTGCGTCCTCGACCGGTAATAGGCCCACGCGCCCACAGCCACGCCGCCCAAAACCACGCCCGCACCTACGCCCCCGCGCCAACGCCATCTTAACAATCCCGCATGACACGACACAACACGACACACACGACACACACGACCACACGAACACGCGACACAACACGCACACAAGGGAAATACCGGCGCTGCCGAGGGCGACCCAGACGAGGTCCGACACGGAGAACTTGTCGTCGCTGGCAGAGGCGGGGAGCTTGCCGGCGATGAAGTCGGCCACGTAGCCCAGCACGTTGCCCGGCTCGTTGGTGATGAAGCCGTCCACGCCCATTTCAATCAGGGGCACCACCTCCGATCGGTTGTTGGGCGTCCACGCCACCACCGGCATCATCCTGACGCAACGCACGCACACGCACATGCACACGCACAGCACACGCACACGCACACGCACACGCACGCGACACGACAAGACACGATGTCAGTCGGGAAGACAATGGAAGCCAAGGAGGGAACGACGCACCTGAGGTGTGCGGCGGAGATGAACTGGGCGCTGAGGGTGTTGGCCGCCAGCGAGAAGGCGTGGACACCGCGACCCAGGAGGTCGGAGAAGTACTTGTTGGTGTCCTCGCCTGCATCCACGACACACACACACGATTATTATTATTATTATTATTATTTACATTATTATGGAATTAAAAAAAGAAAAAGAAAACAAAAAAGCCACAAAAAGGGAGCGAACCCTTCTTCGGGGCGTTGCCGAGCTTTTGCTTGACGGTGATGTTGAGGTACTGGCCGATGTCGGCCACCTGCGTGTCGGTCCAGCACGACGCGACCACCCGATCGTACAGATCCGTGGTGTTCCTCTCGGCGCTCACCTGCCACAACAATCAACTTCAGCACGACACACGCGACATGACACGACACGACGCACACGCCGCACACGCCACACACGACACACACATGCTTACGTAGGCAATGTCGGAGGCGATGTGTTGGCCGAGGTGTTCGACCTTGAGGTCGAGGACCATGATGGTGTTGGACGAGTTGAGGAGCAGCTCGAGCGCCTCCCGGAAGGTGGGGATCCGGTAGTCGGGGTACTTGTCGCCGAACACCTTCGGGTAGCCCGCCGAGAACTGCTTCAGCTCCGCCACCGTGAAGTCGACCACGTCGCCCGTCCCATTGGTCGTGCGGTTGAGCGTCTGTATGTGTGCGTGTGCGTGTGCGTGTTGCATGCGTGTGTGTGCGGTGACGTGCGTGTGCGTGTTGCATGCGCGTGTGTGCGGTGACGTGTGCGTGCGTGTGTGTGCGGTGAAATGTTAGTGAGTCGAGGTGAAGAACAAGAAGGCGCGGGAGACAAAACGTACGGCGTCGTGGATGAGGACGACGACGCCGTCCTTGGAGAGCCGTAGGTCGGTCTCGATGCCGGCGATGCCCTTGTAGGCCAGGGCACGGGCGAAGGCCGGCATGGTGTTCTCCGGCAGCTCGCCCGACGCTCCTCGGTGTCCGATTACGAACGGGCCGTACGTCGCCTCCACTATTCAATTAAATCATTAAAAAAATAGATCATTAAAATCTAGTGATTGAATAAGATCAAGTTGATTACATATCTTATTCATTTAATCATCAAAATGTAGAAGATCTCCCAATTGTAAAATGACATTTATCTGGTCGTAGCGGGGTACCGGCAAAGCAAAAACGCGAGCAAAGAAACGACCACGGCAAGCTTCATCGTCAACAACAAGGGATGGCGGTGGTCTTGTTGCGGAGAACGAGGAGGTGAGGAAGGCAGGGAACAAGTGCGGCCTTTCCCACCAATTATAAGTTATTTACGATTTATTTTGTGTATTTATTTTATGTGTGATGGAGCTGGTGTTCGTCTTCGTGAAGACCCTCACGGGCAAGACCATCACCATCGAGGTCGAGCTGAGCGACTCGATCGGGCAGGTGAAACAGAAGATACAGGAGAGGGATGATATCGTCCCGCCCAACCACGAGCAGTGCCTCACCTACGCCGGCACGCAGCTCGAGGACCACCACGCCCTGGCCCACTACCACATCAAGAAGGAGTGCACCCTCCACCTTCTCTTCCGCCGCCGTCCCGATGAGCCCATTCGCATCTTCATCAGGTGGCTCGTGGGCGGGAGCACGAGGCTCAAGGTCAGGCCGAGCGACACCATCGCCCAAGTGAAGCAGGTGATAGGGGACAAGATGGGCATCGCTCCCGACCAGCAGCGCCTCATCTTCGCCAGCAAGCTGCTCGAGGACCAGCACACTCTCGCCGACTACAACATCGAGAACGAGTCCACCGTCATCATCGTCCTGCGGCTCCGCCCTGGCAGCTAGTGTGTTGTTGGTGTTGGTTCATTTCCGCTACAGACAGTGGTGATGGTGCAAAATGATGATGTTGATGGTGATGATTTGAAGAAGAAGAAGGAGAAGAAGCGGCTCAGTAGTGCGGGACCTGCTTCTCGCTCATGAGCCCGCCCGGCAGATTGACGTCCGGCGTCTGGGAGGGAAGCGGCAGGGTGTGGACCTCGCGCACGTCCTGGCGCGCCTGGAGAATGCTCTCGAAGCGCTGGGCCACCTCCTGCAGTGTCAGCTTCTGCTCCTTCTCCTCGGGCTTTGTCTCCAGCAGCTCAAACTTGACGTACAGCCGCTGCAGCCACCACCCACCAACACGATCAGTACGTGACGCGCTACATGAAGACGATCTTTCTGAGAAGAAGTAGCATACGCTGGGGACGGAGACACGAAGATAAGCGTCGGCGTAGCCGTGCTTCTTCAGCTCCTCGCTCCACTCCTGAGCCTTGATGTCGATGTCCCCCTTCTCAGCCTCTACTTTTGCGTAGAGCAAATAAAAAAGAGCTGAAGATGATTAACAACCAAATCAACAACTCACCAGACGAGTGTAGAGCGACTTGGATGAAGGGGAGATGGAAAGAGTACCCGAGGGAAAGACGAGGAAGGTGGGGTGTGGCACAGGGAGGGGCACGTGGTGGTGCTGGTGGTGGAAGCCCTCGGACTCCACCCGCTGCTCGCGCTCGGCCATCTCCCGCCCGCGCTGCTCCCACTTGTCCTTGTCGAACTGGATCTTCCAGAGAACGCCCGGGTCGATGGTGCCGTGGCCGTGCTGTGCGCCCGCGGCCTGCATGTGGTCCTTCACCTCCTTGTTCTCGTGAGTCGCCATTTCTTCTCTTTGTACAGATGTTGTGTTCTTGTTCTGGCGATGTTGATGGTGTGCAGGTGAAGGTATGGACCAAGCGCGGTCGTGATGATGATGCGGCCTCGGGCAGCGTCAAACGTTCGTGGATGTCGATGAGTGGTCATTGGGGCTAGGCCGACTTTCGGCCCAAATTTGTTCTGTGTAATGTAATAAGGCTGCTGACGTCACGCTGCTTGACGTCATTACCGCTGTTGAAGATGAAGATGAGAGCAGCATGGGGTCTCGTTGTGGTGCTGGCGCTTGCGCTGGTCATGGCCCACGGCGACGAGAAGGCGGCTGAGTGTGATGCATTGGGCTTCGACGCCGCGACCCTCTCCTGCTCCTCTTGCACCCTCCTCCCCACGTACTCTCCCTCCTGTTTCATACTTCCTCACCGTCTCCTTCCAAAGGAGACTAAACATTAGGATTAATCTTGTCTTCATTTTTACGATCTTTTCTGCATTTGTTGATTTGTTAAGGTTCGTGCACGATGAGGGTCTTGTGGCAGACTGCCGCAAGTGCTGCAGCGAAGCAGAGACCACCGACGACAACCGCGTCTTCGATCACGCTCGCGTACCCACTTCTCTCTATTCTTTATTCGCCAGCCTCTACTTGGCCAACGCTCACTACTCGCTTCCTCTGCCTGCACACTTGACCACCGCCACTTGCACTACCCGTGACGTCATGTAGTTGGAGATGGACAAGTCCTTTATGATGGCTCTGGCCTACTACCACCCCGGCCTCTACCACTTCCTCAAGGGATCCGCCTTCCAGCACTTCCTTGGTACTACCACTCTTACTACTCTCATCTTAATCTTCCTTGTCTCCATCTTCTTCATCTTACATGTTCTCGTGTTGGCCAGGTCTGCAAGTGGTGGACAAGTCGAACATGAAGCCCACCCTCGTCTTCCTCGATGCCTCTGGCGAGCCGCAGCTCACCACCCAGTACGCGCCTTCGTCGTCTTTAATCGTTGCTCTGCCCAGAAATGGCTGACCTTAGACTCGCCACCAGGCTCGGCGGGTGGAAGGAGGAGACGATCGTGGAGTACCTCGAGACCAAGCTCACCAACAAGGCGGGCAAGCCCATCAAAGGCGCCCACATGCCCAAGTGGCTGCGAGCGTTCATCGACAAGAAGCACTGAGTGCCCACTGCAGAATCGCACACTACACACTACACACAACGCACACAACACACGACGTGGAGCAAATGCAATGCTACTCGTTCTCTCGGCGTGGTATGTACAAAGGCGAGGTGCGGAGGTGGCGAGGTTGTTGTTGTTGTGGGCAGTCGACCGCGGGGAGGCGGGTCGACGAGCGCGAGCTGGGCAGCTAGTTCCAGTCGCGGCCGGGCAGAACAATGGGCGCGATGAGGGTCCAGATGTACAGCAGCGCGGCGAGCCACGAAGTCGACAGCTTGACCCACACCGCCGTGAAGCCGTGGTCCACCTTGAAGCTGCATTTGTTGAAACCGCACACACGTCAAATTTATGGTGATGTGTGTCGTGTGTGTGTGGGTGTGGGAGGCGTACTCGTCAGAGTGGCTGGCTCCGCTGACGATCTGCCAGTCGGTCATGATCATGTATACGTACATGACGCCCAGCATGAAGGTGATGTGGAAAAAGCTGTAGTTGTAGGCCACCTCGTCCTTCTCGTCGTCCTCGACCTTGCCCTCGTGGTGGTCGTCGTCGTGGTGCGAGTCCGAGCCGGGAATGTTCTCGTCATTCAGCTCCGGCAGCAGCTTGTCGCCCTGTGTTTCATCGTAAATAGTTAGCACCAACCGCACACGACACACACGACACACGACACGACACGCACCTCTTCGGCGGCCTGAATGGAGGAGTCGGTGGTGGCGCCGGAGCCGCCCTCGAGGAGGTCGTTGCCCTTGGTGGACATGCGAATGGTGGACCAGCACACGGCGACGATGGTGAACGCGGCGCCCGTGAGCACCGACGAGACCGAGCCGCCCATGTTGTCGAACGGGTTGCACTGGAAGCTGCCGCTGTTCGGCTCGCTGCTGACGGCGCTATAGACCAGGTAGGTGCAGTAGAGCGTGACGACCCCCGACTGGAGCAGGCCCGTGCCGCGGTTGGGGTGGGCCTCTTGGACCTGTTGCGTCGGAGTTGTCAGTTGCGTCGGAGTTAAAAGCTTGACGCACGACACGACACGACACGCGAGCCTATTCAGAGTTGAAAGACGTACGCGAGAGTGGATGGAGGCGAGGGAGAAGAGGGCGCAGATGAGGATGTTGATGGTGGGGAAGGTGGCGTTCATCCAGCACTCGGAGCCGTTGTAGAAGAACACGTAGATGAGGATGGTGCCGGTGAGCGCGACTGCGTAGAGCACAGCGGTGGCGATGAGCAGCAGCCAGTAGTAGCTCCTGTTCTCCTCGCCGGCCTCGCCCTCAAACTTGTTCAGCCAATTCTCCGCCCTGCCACACACACACACTTTGTCAACTCTCGCGACGTGTTGTGTGTGTGTGTGCCGTGTGTGTGTGTCGTGTCGTGTCGTGTGTGCGTGCATACCAGGTGTAGGCAAACTCGATCAGGTAGACGAGCTGGATGATGATGAAGCCGCCGGCGCCGAACAGAGCGATCCAACCGAAGACGACGAAGAACTCGTTGGGAATGAAGAAGGCGGCCACGGTGATGCCCACGATCCCGACCAGCTTGAAGAGCCACCACCCGTCCTGGATTCCCGCGCGGAAGTCGGAGCTGTTCTTGACCCTGATCATCAGCAGCGCCATCAACCCGTGGAACACCTGCGGCGGACCCAATTGATGACGACGACGAGCCACAACAGTACACGCACCCGACACGTAGCGGGGAAGCGTGAGCGTCATGGTGTGGTGGGTGAACTACGTGGCGACACGTACCGCCATGCCGAAGCAGACTCTGGCTGTGGCCAGCACGCCGACACACCTGCACGAGAACACGCCTTAGGCTCCGTGTGTGCTGTGTGCCGTCGTGTATCGGGTGGCAACGTGCATGTAGAAGACGAGGAGGGTCTATGTACCATTGGTCGTCGTGTTGGCAGACCTTGTCGAGTACGGGAACGAAGCTGAGGAGCTTGTAGGACCAGAAGTTGAGGATGTACATGGCCACCGCGGCCAAGAAGAAGAACGCGACGTACATGCCACGCGTGACGATCGATTTGGGCATCTTTTTCGATGAAGAATGACGTAAGTGGCAGAATTGGAAAGAGGACAATGATGAGGCTAAAGATATGAGGAATTGAGTAGAAGGCGCACCATCTTGCCAGCGCATGAGCAAGCAGCACTGGCACAGCAAGATGCAGATTGACAAGCGAGGAAGCTCACGATGCAACCCATTCTTTTTTGAAGTTTTCCTGCTTACTTCCTCCGACGTCCCTCTGCTCCAATCTGCGGTTTCTAATCGATGATGGCCTTCAAGCAAATGACTTTGCGTTGTCGTGAGCAGAATCCACACCCGACTTTTACCTGCTTTTCGCTGATGCTCGAAATTCTTTCGAAAAGAAAAACGCAAATGTTTGGTAAATGATATTTATTTTCTGTCGACGATCGTGCAAGCAGTAAGCACAGCACTTGATGGAGAGCAAGCGGCCGCAGGTGGCGGCATCACTTAAACGGAATGCCGTGGCTGCGCCGCCAACCTCTCGGGGTGGATGGTGGATCGGTGGCTTCCTTGTCCTGGCATTAGCCCTCCTTGCTGCCTTCATTATTGCTACCTCCTCGTCCACACAACCGTACGTCGTCCATTTTTCTAGTTTATTTCATTTTTTTTATTTTAGAGCATTAAAAATTGGCAATTATTTAATCCAAATAATCCAATAAAAAAGATGTGTACTATTTTTACTTGTTTTTTTATTGTGCACAGCTCGGAGACTCGGCTCGAGGAGCAGCTGGCAGAAGTGCTGACACTACATTGGAGCCGGGACAACCTGTCCATCGCTGCCGAGGTATGCCACCTTCACAGTCGTACAACCGCACACGACACACACGACACACAGTGCATTGTTGATCTCGTGCACTCACAAAACCGACGGTTGTTGCTCTGCGCGCAGCTCTCACGCCTGCGCACGCCGGTGCTCGTGAAAGGCAGCCAGGTGAAGGACTGGAAGGCGTTACAACTTTGGACGCCTCAATACCTCGCCAAAAAGGTGTGCGTGTGCGTGTGCGTATCGCGCGTGTCGCGCGTTGCGTGTTGCGTGTGGCTGATGACAAGTCTTTCGTCTCCAGGTGTCGTTCTTGAAGAATGCACGCAATGGCACCGAGCCGCGCTTCATCGGGGTGTCGACGAAGGAGGGCCTCATGGACGTCTCGCTCCTCCACCCGGCCAAAGAGGCCGGCCGCAATTTCCGCCTGCAGGACATCCGCATGAAGGACTTCCTCCTCCACGACCAGGTACACATCTCCACCGTCGGATCACATATTATTTGTTTTCTGTTATTTTATTTGTGTTATCACAATAAGTCTTATTTTATGATTCTTGTTTAATTTTATGGGCCATATTGACCATAGTTATGTTTGCTTGTGTGTGGTACCAGGCCAAGCCCAAGAGCGAGTACCACTACTACAGCGGGCCGATGGCTTGGTGGCCCGGGGGTAGCGCTTTGCCCACTCAGTCTCCACCACTCAGTCTCCACCACTCATGATACGAATTGCGGCGTCAATGCTCACTCTACTCTCGTGGTGGTCGCGTGTCGTGTGCGTGTCTTGCGTGCGCTGGACAATGTGTGTTTGTGGGGCAGAACTCCATTCGCACGTGATGCCAATCGACTTCCTCCAGGTCGACAAGGAGCTGGCCGTGGCCAGCGTGTGGATGGGCCACGAGGGGGTGCGTGGCGCCTGTTTCAGTACTACCTCGCGCAGTGATGCAAGCACTCACAGTGTGAACGATGGCGACGCACAGGTGACAGCGCAGTGCCACTTTGATCGCTCTTACAACTTCTTCGCTCAGATTCATGGTTTGTCCGCTGACTCTCCGCGATTCGCTTCATGACCTGTGCCCATAACGATGCTTACCGTGTTTCGTGTGTGTGTTGTGTGTCGTGTGTGTCGTGTGTGTGTCGTGCGCGTTTCTGACAGGTCGTAAGAGGTGGACCTTGTATCCTCCCGAGACCTGGTCGCTGTTCTATCTGTACCCGCACCTCCACCCCAACTACCACCAGTCGCAGGTCGACTCCGCCAACCCCGATCTCGAGCGGTTCCCCCACTTCGCCCGGCCCAACGGCCAGCAGGTCATCCTCGAGCCCGGCGACGTTCTCTACATTCCACGTACCCCAACATTTCATATTATTTTTATATTGTTCTTATGCATTTAGGAATACTTCTTTCTTTATATTCCTATTTATTAATATATATATACAAAAACTGTTTTTGTTTGCAGCGTATTGGTTTCATCAGGTGGAGTCGCTCGACACGGGCATCTCGCTGTCGGTCATCTCGCCCTCCGAGGAGGAGCTCGTCTGGAACCAGATCCAGTACTACCCGCTCCCCTTCCTGCCCAACAACGGCGACGACGGCGACCACGACGACGGCGACGATGGCGACCACCCCGACAACCACGCCATCCACGCCGGTGACGACGACGCGGCGGACTGGCCGATGTTCCCGCACCGCGTGGCCGCGGCACGGCTCTACCTGCAGCACCTGATCGGCCAGGTCATCGAAGACCGCCAGACGGCCGCCGACTTTGTCGCCGAGGCCGTCATTGAGCGGCGCTACGCCCCGCTCGCCGCGCGGCTCGAGCCCTTCGCCGACCCGGCCGTCGTGCACACCATCGCCCGCCACGACTGCTTCCGCGGCGAACTCGACTTGACCGACGCCGACGGTAGAGGTGCGGGCTGGGAGGCGCGGGTTGCGGACTGGCGGCGGCGCGAGGTGGAGGTGAAGAAGGAGGTGCGACGGGCGGCCTACAAGCAGAGCCGGCTGCTGCGGGATCTGGTATCGTCGGTGTCCGACGGCGTCGGGGCCATCGTGCTGGCCAACCACATCGAACAGGTGGCCAACGCCACTGTCGGCGGCTGGCACAACGCCCTCGCCTTCCTCCGCCTCTGCTTCCCGCCCTCTTCTCCTGTTATTTAACGTTCATTTAAAACGTGCGCCAATGAAATAACGGCCCATCGTGTCGACATTTTATTCCACCAATCATGCACACCTCTGCGCCAAATTAATTTATTGTCACAGTTCCGCCCAAGTACCCAAACCAGACAACAAAAAGATGGAGGAAGCATTTGGCGAGACGCAGGATGCATCGATGGGGGAAGATGAAAGTTTCCGGCGGGCCGAGAGGCAGTTGCGGGAAAGAACCCGCGCGTTGAAAGTGCTGGCCCGCCGCGTGTGGGCGACGGAGATGTCGAACACATCTGCAGGTGCCGCGCAGCAGACACAAATCCCCTCCGCGGAGGGGGCGGGGGCCGTGCTGGCCTTTGTGGCGCCGCTCCTGCTGCCCCCCTCCGAACCCCATCTCCTCCACCTCATCTGGACTCGCAGGTATGCTACAAAAGCAGTTTTTTTCTTTTTCTTTTTAAAAACAATCTAAATCAATATTATCTCCATTATTTTAATGAGTGATTTTTTAAATTTAAATTGAATAAAAAACTGACTTCGTTACGGCGCAGGTTTGATGCTGTGGCCGCGGGCACGGGCCAGGTGAAGGCCAAGGAGGGTGGCAGTGAAGACGATGGTGCCCACATCGAGGAGGCCGGCCGACTGCTGGACTTTGCCGTGGGCTGGGTGGCGGCCTTCCCCGAGGACTTCAAGGGCGACCACCCGGTGATCGAGCGGATGGCCGACCAGGCGCGCCGGTGGCAGGAGGCCATGCGCGGCCGCGCCGACATCAAGCAGGGCGTGCGGGCCGGCCGCCTGGTGCTGCGGCTCGAGGCCGCCAAGGTGTCGACGCTGGCCTACGCCGGCGGCGGCGACCGCATGCAGTCGCTGCTGATGCGCGCCGGGTCGCATCTGCGCAACGTGGCCGCGGCCCAGGCGGCGTCGGGCCGACGCCGGTCGCTGCGCGTGCTGGTACGGCAGCAGGCCACCATCTCCGCGGCCTCGCTCCAGCAGTCAGCGTCGGCCCACCCCGTGCAGCAGCCCGGGCCGCCACAACACCAAAGTCTCCCCGACCTCAGCACCAGCGGACCACTCACACGTGCGCACACGACACGACCAACGACACGACACGACCAACGACACGACACGACACGACACGACACGACACGACACGACACGACACGACACGACACGACACGACACGACACGACACGACACGACACGATCGTTTTTAGTTGACGGACATGTGCGTGTGTAGCGCGACCGAGCGAGTACCAGATGGACTTCATGGCGTTCGACGCGGGCGCGATCGCGCGCGAGCTGACCCTGATCGAGTTCGGCCTGTTCTACAACATTCGCCCGCGTGAGCTACTCAATCAGGCGTGGCAGCGGGAGGACAAGGAGAAGAAGGCGCCCAACATCAGCCTCCTCATCGCCCGCTTCAACGAGGTATGCGCAGCGAAATCTGCGCAACGTTCCTTTCACATCGCTCATCTATTGTGCGGTTGTATGTATGCGTGTGCGTGTGCGTCTGCGGTTGTGTGTGCGGTTGTGTCTGCGTGTGTCGTGTGCGTGTGCGTGTGCGTGTGCGTGTGCGTGTGCGTGTGCGTGTGCGTGTGCGTGTGCGTGTGCGTGTGCGGTGGTCTGCAGGTGGCGTTCTGGATCGCGACTGAAATCCTGCAGACACAGGGCAGCAAAATGCAGACGGTGGTGATCAAGAAGGTGCATGCAGTTTTAATTCTTGCTGGTTTTTATCGTTTTGATTTTTTTATTATTATTTACGACTTGTGTTGCTATTCGAATGCATGCAGCTGGTGGACGTGGCGAGCCAGTGCTACGACATGGGGAACTTCAACACGCTGATGGAGATCATCTCCGGCCTCGCCCATTCGTCGGTCAAACGGCTCAAGGCATGTGCGCGTGCGTGCGGCCGCACTTTCTTTCCTGGGCTCACTGTCGTCGCTTTGTCTTGCTTTCGCGTCTGTGCAGACCGCGTGGAAGGGCTTGGGCGACCGACACCAGCGCCGATTCGATGAGTTGGAGCAGCTGATGAGCCCTCGCAACAACTTCAACGACTACCGGTAAGTTCTCATTTATAATTTATATAATTGATTTTATTTATATATATTTTATCATTTTTTATTTTTATTCGTAATCAAATTATCGGTTTTTAGGTCCGAACTGAGTTTTTCTTGCAGGGAGCTATTGAAGAAGCGAACGCTGGAGCAGGCGGAAAAGGAGCGGGAGCGGAGGGAGAAGAAGACCAGCAAGATGGTGGCCGTCCCGCCGATCCTGCCCTACTTCGCCCTCCTGCTGCGCGATCTCACCTTCATCAACGAGAACCCCAAGTACCTCGCCAAGGACCACGCCTCACCTCGGGAAAGCGAAAGCGAAAGCGATAGCGAACGAGAAAACGAAAGTAAAAGCGAAAGCGATAGCGACGACGAGTACGAAATTGTCGACAGCGGCGGCGACGACAGCCAGGACGAAAGCGGGAGTTCGCGTCGCAAGCGAACACCGGTGAGAAAGGGGCGCGATGAGGAGGAGCTGGAGGTCAACTGGGACCTGATGGTGATGCTCAATCAGGTGCGCCAGGTGATCCAGCAGTACCAGCGCATCAACTACACCTACGCGCCCAACCACGAGCTGCGGCGCGTGCTCACCAACCTCCAGTTTATCTCCGACGAGAACGAACTGTGGAAGCTCTCCCAGCTCTCCTTCTCGGCCACCAGCGAAAAGAAGACCCACCGACGGTACCCCCACCCAAGCCCTCTTTTTAAGGTGGCGAGCTATGACACTTAAGACGGCTGCCTACCTGTTTTCTGGCTTTCCATGTTGCATGGCAACAAACCAGATCGCTGTCGGCGCCGTTGAAGATGAAACTGGAGGCGCTCCTGCAGCACGACGACCGCAACAGGAACCGAACCGCTGCGCGCGAGACGAAGGAGTGCGTCATGAGCGACGAGGAGGCGCGTGGCGGCGGCATCGAGAGCGGAATGCTCGACTGCATCGACTGCGAGGAGGAGTGGGAGCGGGGCGCGACATCATCGGCCCCCACCCGGCGGGAGCCCACGTCGCCGCCCTGGCGATCGAGCACGGGCCGCGGCGACGCCGACGGCGCCGAGGGGCAAGTGGTCGAGGAGGAGACGCCGTCGCGCCGGAAGCGCAAGCAGGCGGCGGCCGCGGCAGCGACGGCCTCGGCGAACAGGGAAGAGGCGCCGAGGAGTCGGTGGGAGGGCGGCAAGAAGAAGGCCGAGTCCATGTGGGACCAGTTCCTCCATCGCTACTTCAGCTCCCATATCCCCAGCAACCGGTACACCGCACGCTTTTCTGTTTTATTTATTTATTTATATTATTTTTTCCAGTATTTATTATTGTCTACTCGTTGGATCATGTTGTGTTTGTTGTATTTATTTTAATATTTTTTGTTGGTGTCAACACAGTGAGAATACGGACAGCTGGCGCTTCTACCAGTCGCTGACGAGCGGAATGGACGACCAGCTGAGCGAGAGCAACGAGGCCCTGCGCAGCAAGATCAACGGCCGCGCCGGGGTCCGCAGCGGCCTCTCCCGCAGCGACCAACCCAAGAACTCCACCGCCTCTACCACCACCACCACGCCGAGCGGCAACAACAAGTTCAAGCAGGTCGCCGACGACGTCAAGACGCGCAAGCACAGCAACGCCAACGGCGACGCCGGCGGCAGCGGCGGCAAGCAACGTGGCGGAAGTGGTGACTTCTTCCAGCACTTGAGCGGCGGCGCCAAAGAGATGCTCGAGAAGACGGTCAACGACAGCGACGTAGGCGGCGGTGGCGATGACCGACCACAGCCAAGGCGCGAGCGCGCGGCAACAACGACAGACGTCGTGACTGCGGCCACGTCATCGCTCATCCTCATCGCCGACGCCGATGTCGACGGCGACGGCGGCCATGCCGCGATCGCATTCGTCGGGAGAGCAGCGGCGCGAGGGCAGCTTCATCCTGTTCGAGAACTTGGGCGGAGGTGCCCAGGCCATGCTCAAGCGCGACGACGTCCTGCCGCCCACCTCCACCACCTCCTCGCCCACCGCCACGCGCAAACAACAACCATCATCATCGTCGTCATCACCCGCGCCATCACTGTCGCCGCGATCATCGTCATCGTCGTCGGGTGCCAAGTCGCCGCGCTCGGCCGCCAACGGATCGTCGGCGTCGCTGCCGGTGCGCAAGGGGCGAGCCCACCGCACGTCACTGGCCACGGCCACCTCCGAGTTCCTCGTCGCCCAGCGCCCCGAGGGCGGCGCCGACTGAGATTTACCACACTTGCCGGCAAATTAAAAAAAAGGTAAATTAGAATTTGATGAAGGCCAGCACGCACATAGCAGCCACGCCCACCAGCACGCTCAGCAGGCTCACCTTGGGGCAGCGGAGGGCCTGATGCATGTGGAGGAGCGCCTCGATCTGGCGCGAGTGCTCGGGGTGATGGTGCTTCTTCCACTTGTGGTCGTGGCGGCCGAAGGGGTGGGGCTCGCACTCTGAGTGGTGGTGGCGGTGGGGGGATGAGGCTGCGAGGAAGCACAGCAACGCCAACGGCGACGCCGGCGGCGGCGGCGGCGGCAAGCAACGTGGCGGCAACTTCTTCTGAGCGCCGACGCCAAAGAGATCTCGAGTAGACGGTCAACGACGGCAACGTAGGTCTACGAAAGAAAAGTGGAGAAGAGAGACACCTGCTCACATCCAGACAAGTAGATGTCCACGCGTTGCAACGGTTGGGAAGAAAAAAAAGCAAATTAAACAAGAAATCGACAACAGATCAAAGAAGGTGACCCCAACTTGAGGACATCTGTGGCGCGCCCAGGTTCAGGGAGGAAATATATAAAAAATGCTCAACGTGAAGAAACCGAAGCGGCCGGTGTTCAGAGGCGAAGGTGCGACGGCCATGTTCGAGGTGCAGATCATGAGCGACCTCCACCTCGAGTTCCCCAACGCCCTCGCGCACCTGCCCTCCTTCGAACCTCGCGCCCCCTACCTCGTACCCCACCCTTCCCACTTTGCTTTTCTCCCTTTTGCAGATTTTTTATCTTTTTGCTTCTATGTTGGTGGCAGGCACTGCTCGGGGTACGTAAGCGACGTCATGACACCAGCGACGACACACACGACACACACGACACACGGCTGGTTTATCATTCAACAAATTTGTGTTGGTGCAGGACATAGGCCACCCGAAGAAGGAGAACTACTTTGCATTCCTGGCGGCGCAAGCGGCTCGGTTCGAGCGCGTGTTCGTCGTCACCGGCAACCACGAATACTACACCTCCGACCGGTACCATCCGTGTTGACGTCTCTTTTCCGCTCCACCTTCAGCTCTCGCTCTTCGTCTCACGACCACACACACACACACACCACACACACACACACACACACCGTCGCAATCATCATCACACGCGCGCACAGAGACACGGTGCATAGGCAGATCAGTGAGTTTTGCAGCACGTTCGACAACCTGCACTTTTTGCAAATGAGCTCTGTGCTCCTCGAAGATAACGGTTCGCGACGGGCCGTGTGTGCGTGTGGCGTGTGCCATGCTACAACACGTTTGCCGTTGGTGTCGTGTCGTGTCGTGTCGTGTGTCCGTGTGACTGACTTGGGTGAACAACACACAGGGCACAAGGTGCGCGTTCTGGGGACCACCTTGTGGCACCACTGCCCGGAGAAGGACATCGGGCAGGTCGAGCGCACCCTGAACGACTACGCCATGATCGGGGTGCCCAGCACCACCCGTACTCTCTCTTTCCCCCTACTTTTACGCGACACGCACCACCGCACACGCACCACCACACGCGCATGCGCGGTATTTGACGAGTGCGGTGATTGTGACGGTGCAGCAGAGGGTGCGCCAAAGAAGCGCAAGCTGCGGGCGGCGGACACGAACAGCTGGCACGCGGAGGAGGTGGCCTGGCTCAAGGCCGCCATCGCCGAGGCTGAGGCCGCGGGCGAGGCCGTCGCCGTGCTCACCCACCACCTCCCCTCCAACAACAGTTCGATCGCCCACTTCCGCCCTCAAGTGACCAACTTTTTCCTCACTCACGCAAGTTGGTTTGCAGTGCTTTCGGGCGGGCTGGGCTTTAGTACCGACCTTGAGGACGTGATCAAGTCGCCGCTCATCTTCTGGGGCTACGGTCACACAGTACGTTTCTCTCTCCCTCTCTCTCTCTTTCTCTCTTTCTCTCTTGTCGCTTTCGTTCTTTCTAGAAGAGGAAGACGGTTGACGTTGCAATGCAGCACAAGAGTCACCAGACGGTGATCAATGGGGTCATGGTGGCCTCCAATCAGAGGGGCTACTTCATGGCGCCGCCCGAAAAGGCCGGCTTCTCCCCCGAGTTTGTGGTCACCATCGACCGTACGTACCACCTGCTGCCCGCCCATCCAAGACGTGTGCATATAACAAACAAAAAGCAAACATACATCTTTGTTGTGATGTGGCAAACAGATGACCGCCAGAGTTACATCATGCGAAACGACCCAGCTAAGACCAACCAGCAGGACTGATGGTGCATGTTGATATATTGGAAAAAAGTTGTGTAAAACACAATAACTATATTGCATCACAATGTCACTATTTCCCTATGCTTGGTGTAGGTGGTGGTGTAGGTGGTGGTGTAGGTGTACAGTTCTACTTTAGTAATCACTCGCCATCCTGTGTTTAAGGGAAAAGACCAGTTCTTGTGCGTTGGCCGGGCGTTGCGACGCCGCAGGAGGCGGAGGCGGCGGTGGAGCGGCTTCGGCAGGCTGCGGGTGTCACGGGTGAGTGTGCGTGTGCGGGTGCGTGTGGTGGATGTGAGTACAGCAAACCCAATCAAATGCGGGCGGCGCATGGAGGCGCACCTTCTTGGCCTCCTCCTCGGCGAGCTTGGCGAGCTGGTCTCGCTTGTTCCTGTCCGGATCGTTTCTCATGGTGTACCTCTTGCCATCATCTGTAGTGTTCGGTTGGTCGTTCGTTGAGAAAATCATGACCAGTGCTTGCTGGCAGGCAGGCAGGCAGGCGTACGGTCGATGGTGACCACAAACTCGGGGTAGAAGCCGGTTTCTTCGGCCATCGAGATGTAGCCCAGCTGATTGGAGGCCACCATGACTCCGTTGATCACCTTCTGGTAACTCGCGTGCTGTGATCACAACACACAACATGATGCAAAATAAATAACTGAATGTTGCCATATATGTTCACCATACAGAGAAGGAAAGAGAGACGCACCGTATGGCCATAGCCCCAGAAGATGATCGGCGACTTGATCATCTTCTCGAGATCAGTACTGAATCCCCGCCCGCCCCACACCACTGCGCCCCACAATATTATTCTGCTAATTAGTCTACCGATATAATAATAATTAAAATAAATAATAATGAGAGTTGAGGCTCGAACTATTGTTGGAGGGGAGGTGGTGGGTGAGCACGACGACGGCCTCGCCCGCCTTCTTGGCCTTCTTGATGGCGGCCTTGAGCCAGGCCACCTCCTCCGCGTGCCAGCGGTTCGTGTCCGTGGCTTTCAGTTTCCGCTTCAGCGGAGCTCCCGCAGCTGCTCCGTGAAGCCAGCCCCACATGCGTTACATACCGCGACATGCGGCGTGTGCGTGTGCGTGTGCATGTGCGTGCGCGTGCGCGTGCCGTGTCGTTGCATGTGGGAGAGAAGGGCAAGTACATGTGGTGCTGGGCACCCCGATCATGGCGTAGTCGTTCATGGTCCTCTCTACCTGAGAGAATTCCTTCTCCGGGCAGTGGTGCCACAGGGTGGTCCCCAGAACGCGCACCTTGTGCCCTGTATGTTGTTCAGTCCCAAGTCAGTCACACCCACGACACGCGACACGCACGACACGACACGACACGACAAACAAGATCTCACAACGCGCTTGTGTGGTCGGCGAACCGTTATCTTCGAGCAGGACGGAGCTCATTTGCAAGAAGTGCAGGTTGTCGAAGGTGCTGCAAAACTCTGCGATTTCCCTATGCACCGTGTCTCTACGAGCGTGTGCGGTTTGTGCGTGCTGTCTCGTGTCGTGTCGTTGGTCGTGTCGTGTAGCACGGAAGGTACCTGTCGGAGGCGTAGTATTCGTGGTTGCCGGTGACGAGGAACACGCGCTCGAATCGCGCCGCCTGCGTCTTGAGGAATTCCAAGTAGTCCTTCTTCCGCGGCTGGCCAATGTCCTGTTCACCCATCACCCAATCCATCACCATTCCCCTGACATTAGCCCTTTCATGCCTGCGTGTGTCTTGTGGCTGCGTGTGCGTGCGTCGTTGTGTGTGTCGTGTGGCGTGTGTCGTGTGGCGTGTGTTGTGTGGCGTGTGGTGTGTGGCGTGTGGCGTGCTTCGTGGAAGAACGCTTACCCCGAGCAGTGCCTGGCGACCACAATAAAAAGAGCAGATATCAAAAGAAGATAAAAATAAGTGAAGGAATAAGATGGGAGGGGTGGAGGGGTGGGGTACGAGGTAGGGGGCGCGGGGCTCGAAGGAGGGCAGGTGCGCGAGGGTGTTGGGGAACTCGAGGTGGAGGTCGCTCATGATCTGCACCTCGAACATGGCCGTCGCACCTTCGCCTCTGAACACCGGCCGCTTCGGTTTCTTCACGTGGAACATTTTATCTCTATTCTTCCTTGCTCACTCTCTTCTCCTCTGATTTTATAATAATAAAAATCACGTTTTGTTTTTATTTATTTGAGAGTCATTTCTTTCTTTTTGGTGAAGTCAAAAGGGAGTTGCTTTCACCGAAACCCCCTGTGTAAATAAATAAATAAACATATAGCTAAATCATCACATAACAGTGAAACCAGAAGCACACCATGGCGCACGTACCAAGTCCGCCTACGCCGCCCCCCACGTTAACCCAAGTGGAAGTGGCGGCGGAGCGGCCCAGGTTCAGGGGCGAGGGTGCGACGGCCATGTTCGAGGTGCAGATCATGAGCGACCTCCACCTCGAGTTCGCCAACACCCTCGCGCACCTGCCCTCCTTCGAGCCCCGCGCCCCCTACCTCGTACCTCTCCCCAACCACCTCAGTTTTAGATATTTTTTATTATTAAAATTTTTCTTTTTTTATTTAACTTTTATCGTGGTGGTCGTCCACAGGCATTGCTGGGGGTACGATCGAACTACCACTGCACTCAACAGTTTAAGCGCACGCACCCGCACCACCGCACACGACACGCACCACCGCACACGCACCGCACCACCGCACACGCACACGCACGACCGTCGACTGAGTTTTGAGGATCATCTCGCGAGTGCAGGACATTGGTCAGCCGCGGAAGAAGGACTACTTGGATTTCCTCAAGGCGCAGGCGGAGCGATTCGAGCGCGTGTTCGTCATCACCGGCAACCACGAATACTACAGCTCCGACCGGTACCGTACAGTGTCCTGTAAGGCCTAATTCTTAAGAGTGGTCTTCGTTCCCATGTCATATCACACATGACACGACACACACGACACACACGACACAGGGACACGGTGAACCGTGAGATCGCGCAGTTTTGTAGCTCGATCGCCAACCTCCACTTTCTGCACATGAGCTCGGTGCTCCTCAACGACAACGGTGCGCGTGCGTGTGCGTGTGCGTGTGCGTGTGCGGTGGTGCGTGCGCGAGTGCGTGTGCGGTGTGCGTGTGCGTGTGTGAGTTCCGGTGGGCTAAAAACGCGAACAGGGCACAAGGTGAGGGTGCTGGGCACGACCCTATGGAACCACTGCCCGGAGTTCTATCTGGGGCACCTGGAGGCCACCGTCAACGACTACTCGCTCATCATGTTCTCCGAAACGCCTGCTTCCTGTACTGCGCTCCTTTCAATGACCCGACACGCACCGCGCACGACGCACGGCACACACGGCACACACACGACCGCACACGCGCGATGAGCTTATGGGATGTATGAGCACAGCTGAGGAGGAGCCGAAGAAGCGCAAGCTGCGGGCGGCGGACACGAACCGCTGGCACGCGGAGGAGGTGGCCTGGCTCAAGGCCGCCATCGCCGAGGCCAAGGCCGCGGGCGAGGCCGTCGTCGTGCTCACCCACCACAAGCCCGGCAACATCAGTACTTCGCCTTCCACACTGACCTCCTGGTCTAGGATTCTGTGCCAGGCTGACTCGCATCGCATTTCTTTCTCGGCTGGAACTCGGCTGCGCTTAGTGGGTGTGGGCGCCGAATGGGAGTCTTTGCTCAAGCCGCCGGTCATTCTCTGGGGCTACGGCCACACGGTGCGCTCTCTTCTTTTCTTTTCCGTTCAACCAAAAGTTGTAGAGTTGCATAGCAACAACGGTTGCATGTAACGCAGCACTCGAGCCACCAGTGGGTGGTGAACGACGTACTGGTGGCCTCCAACCAGCTGGGCTACCTCCAGTTGGGCGAGAAGGCCGGCTTCTGCCCCGAGTTCGTCATCACCATCGACAGTACCCACTCCCCTCACCCATCCGCCCGCCCGACAATGATTGTGTGCGCCAACTGACCATGAGAACCGACCGACACGACAGACGATCGCAAGAGCCACATCATGCGGAACGATCCGGACAAGAACAGACGGGAGGAGCTTGCCAGGGAGCTGGCTAAGATCGTGCGTGTCTCGTCCACACTACACTCACCCCCATTTACCTTACAAACACACGACACACGACACGCACGACACGCGACACACGACACACAGCCCATGGCGGCCGCGCCGCCTCCGCCTCCGCCGCCCGGACCGCCTGCGCCCAAGCCGGCAGCGGCCAAGAGCTGATGTCTCCAGACAGACGACCACCCATCCATCAGACCCTGGCGCGGTTGTGTTTTGTATGTTTTGTAAATGTAGTGTGTTGAGGCACGGTGCTGTTTACAGCGAAACCTCGGACGCCGACGTCCGTTCCTGGTCGGCAGATGACGTTGCCGTCGCCGATGAAGCAGCGGGAGGCGGTGTTTGTGGTTCTTCCTCCACCACCTCTTCCACCTTCTTTTCTCCCTCTTCGCCCTTCGTTTCTGTGTTTTGCTCTTCTTCCTCCTTCTCCTTTTCTTCTTTCTTTTCTTCTTCTTCTTCTTTCACCACCTCCACCTTCAGTTGCTCCGCCGGCGTGTCGTCCCGCTGCACTTCCACACTTCTTCCGCCATCGTCAGCTTCAGCTTCGGCTTCGGCTTCAGGTACTCGCTTCGCTTCTTCTCCCGCTTCTGCCGCCGCCTGTGGTGGCTGCTGCTGCTGCTGCGGAGTGGTGCCGACGGGCTCCGGCTCCTTCTCCTCGTCGTCGTTCCGCTGCGGCTGCTCCTCCTCTTCGCCGAGGAAGGCGGCCTTGGCCCGGTCCATCTCGCGCAGGGTGGCGCGCACCACGTCCGGCGGCACCCCCGTCACCTCCTCCACCTTCCCCTTCAAGAACCTGCCGCACACGCCGCACGACACGCACACGCACACGCACAACGCCGCACGACACACACCGCACACACCGCACACAGGTATTGCATCAGTGTGGTCTCGCCAGCAAAAGGAGGATAGGGCTGTGGTGGGCCGTGAGAGTACTTGAGCTTGCGATAGATGTACTCGAGGTCCTTCTGCATGTCCTTGATCATCTTCGTGCGCCGCTCAAAGTCCCTTAGAAACGCACCGCCCGTAGATGGTAAGACTTGGGAGAGGAGCGTGTGCGGTGGTGCGTGTGCGGTGTGCGGCGTGTGTCGTGCAGCGAGGCGTGCACACGCACCGGTGTGTGTTGCGGTAGAGGGTGGCCGAGAAATCGTTGAAGGCCGTCAACGACTCTTGCGACGTCTTGAGCGACTTGTACCTGGATGAGGCACGATCAATGTTGAGTTTTTTTAAATGGTAAAAAGAAAACATGAATCAAATCAGTGTAAAGAATCTGATTATTATTAATATCTAATTAATATTTGTGCACATTGAGATGGGCCGTACACTTGGGATTGAGTTTCGAGCATGTCGTAGACCTGCTTGTGGTTCACCATCTCGGATACGGCCTGCGCGAATGCCTCTGCGCCACCGCCTTCGCCGCCAGTCCAGACTGGCGCCTTCTTCGATGAACTCCATGCGTCGTCCATCTTCTGTTTTGATTTACAATCATTTTCAATTCTAGTCTTTTTTATTATTGTAGACGAGGAGCAAAAAAAATCCTGCAGGGACTGACGCCGTGGCGGGCTCACGTCTGATGGGATGGGCACAGGTGTGTCTTACTAAATAAAGGACGCGTCGTATAGTAGGAGGGGTAGGGCAGCGATCGGTAGGCGTGCTGGGGTCCGGGTCCGCTACGCGGCCGTGTGCAGGGGCGAGGGGTAGGGTGGCTGGTGCGTTCGTTGTAGCCGCGTGGCCGAAGGTCGGGGTGCTCAGTAGCGGTAGTGGGGCCAGGGGGGGTCTTTGCGGTTGAGGCTGATGCGTGGTTGGCCTTGGTGGGGCTGGTGGCTCGACGATGGCGTTGGTGTGCATGGGGGGAGGGGGGGTGGGGGCGTCGGAGGTGGGCGGGATAGGGGGAGGCGCGATCCGCGTGATGGGCGTGCGCGGCGTGTGTCGTCGGGGCACGGTGTCCTGCGCGTGTGGGTGAGTTTGGGCTCCATGGTGGTTGGGGGGGGTGTGGCGTCGTGTTCGAGGCCGGGGTTCAGTGGGTATACACGCTGGTCGCGGTGACGTTGGGCGGGGGGGGGGGCGATGCGGGGCGAGAATGGGGTGGGGGGGGGCGTGCGCGGCACATTGGACAAGCTCTTGGCAGCGCTTGATCCAGATGGTGTGAGCGCCTTGTGCTATGCGCAGCGTGATTTTGCGGCAAGGCCGTCCTTGAGGGCGTGGGGTACGTATCCGAGCGCTCCCATGTTTTTGTTGTAGTTGGCCAGCTTGCGGAATGATTCGAACGCCGTTGGGTGGGGCGTTTGAGGACCATATAGGCATGTGGTGCGTGGAGTTGAGGTTAGTGGTGGCCTCCGCTTTGATCATGTCCTGGATGTCTTTGGCGGTGTTGCAGACCATATCCTTGTTTAGGGGCCTTCGGCAGAGAACGGATGTGTGTGTCGTGGTTTCCTTTATGGGGACATGCTTGTGTGTTGTAGCGCTGTTGTCGTCTGTGCCACGTGTTCAGTCCGCTCTGGTCGTTCACGATGTTGGAGGGGAGTGGTCTGGGGATGCTTTCTATGTCATCCTTTTCCCAGTAGGTGTGAAACCTGATGCTGCAGTCAGTGAGCGCACCATATCTGGCTTTGTGCAGGAAGTCGCTCATTCAGTTCTGCAGGGGGCTGGACTTGGGATTGAGGGCAGCATGTGTAGCCTTGCAGTCTGTGTGTTTGTTGCAGAGGTAGAGTCCTTGGACTGGCTTCCCACTCTGTAGTACTTTCCAGTTTTTGGCATGGTGGGCAAGTGCCCATCCCTGTACATCACTGTTTACTTCCTTGCTGTTGCCATCAAACAGGGTGACAGGGTTTGCTCTGTTTGTTGAAGAGTGGCTCTGTCACTAGCTGGGACCCCATGTGTGGAAGTTGGTGATGTTGATGGCTGCTCTGGAGTCTGTTATGATTATGATGTTGTGCCCTTTGGGTATGTATATGAGTGCAGCTTTGATTGTGTAATTTGGCAAGTGTCTTGAAAGACTGGCTGCATCTGGATGAAGATTATGGTCACCTTAGCCTGACCTGCACCAAAGAACTGCCTGATCCACCTTTGTTGTGGTGGAATTTTATCTTCAGGAATAGTGCTCCAATTCAGCCCAAATGATGTGAGGTTCACCATGAAGTGGATGTGAGAGTAGTGATTAGGAATTGATGGAGGGTATGTAAGCAAAGGCAAGGTGCATTTTGAAGTTGTTCAGAGGATCACCAACACATGATAGAAATTGGTCATTCCAGGAACCTTGACTGATGGCCCAGTTACCTTTTTAATCTACCATTTCTCAAGATTCTCCCAATTTTGTCTTGCTTTTATTAAATTAAAACCATTTTTGTGTTGTCAAAACCATTTATATGAGGTTAAACTGACAAACAAAATCACTTTTCAAAATGACTGGACCTCTCATTTCAAATGACTGCAAGTTTCAGGTGCTTTCAGTGCACATCAAGCAAGATGTTGTTGACATAGACCAGGAAGGATGGGGGAAGGGATTTATTTGTATACCTGCTGATCTTGGTATTCAAGGGTGGGGCAGATGGAGGAGCAAAGTTGTAGTGCACTGAAATTATTGGTGGTTAGAATTGCACTGCCAGAGATTGGCCTCCCACCAGTGCAGGTCTCCATGTGTCCTTGGGTGGTGAGACCTTGACAGCCCAAGGCTGACTCCTTGTGTGCTGTCATGATGCAACTTGCTGGCTGTGAGGACCAGTGGGCTCCTCTCTTGGCCCAGCTTCAGTGTGAGTTCATGCTGCAGGCTCCACAATAATTTGTTGGCTGTGGCTTGCTGGAAGATGTGTTCCTTGCTGGCTGTGAGGACCAGTGGAGTCCTCTCTTGGCCCAGCTTCAGTGTGAGTTCATCATCACCTTCTGGATCTGAACAGTGACTGCACATGGCTGCCAGGAGTCACTGAGTCTGATTGAACCCTTGTTGTTGAAAAGCACCTGCATCAGGCCACCAGTCTCTAGATTGTAAGTGATCAGCTGATAGTTGGCTGCTGTGCTGGGTGGGGTAGGTGAGGGCAATGATGATGATGGTGATGATGCTTGGGGTTGAGGCCTTTTTGAACTGCTTGTACTTGCCCCTCCTGGAACTACCAGTTGGCTGATGATGAGTAGGTAGCCATGGCTGCTGGGGTGGGACTGGTACATGGCAAGACCCTGAATGTTGACCACTGATGGAAGCTTGAAATCCTGCTTTGTGTTGATGGGGTCCTAGAGGGACACTTGATGTAGCTGGGCACAGTCACAGACCAGCAGATGCAGCTCCTACTTGTACAGCACTTTGCACATGTATTGGATGATGAATATCTACTAACCTTACTGCCATGGGTCTCTCATCAATATTCTGCAATAGCACCTTCTAGTGGAGTGTTATGATCTATTGGGGCCTGGCCTTGGTGTAGAAGATGTTGGCCTCTGGGTACAGCAGCTTGTAGGGCATGTACCCAGGAGTGCCAAGGGGATAGGATGAAGGTGAGCAACCTTGGAGAGTAGGTGGAGATGCCAAAATTACAGAGCTTGGGCTCAAGCACCCCACCCCTTGAGGGCAAGACCTAGGTGTGGCAGGCCATGTGGTGTCATGTCATATGTGAGAACCTGCAAACCCAATGGAGCAACCAGTGGCAGGAATGACCTTATGGGCCACAGCTGCTCCAGGTCCATCTCTTCATTCTTCTGAGGACAAGCTGTGTCCAAGAGGTCACAAGCAGGCCAATGACATTGGGGTGTTCACTGGACCCTATGTACATGCCCACCCATACCCCCAACACATCAAGGATGGTGCAATTAAAGTGGGGTGGGGGTGGGGGATGCCATACTTAAGAGCCCAGAGTTCCACAGTGCAGCTGTCCCTGCCCCTCTTGGGATAGACCAAACAAGAGCTCACCATGATACTGGCACCAATACACATGCACCTGACCAGACTGCTGGATGGGGAGGTGACACAGGTACTGCAGGCTGTTCATCTCATGAATGTGGATGGTGGATGAGGCAGATGGCCTCTCCCTAGCCACTTCACAGTACAGCTGGGTTCATGCCTGCACTTCAGCACCAAGGGCAGTTTCTAACACTTTCTTGGCCACCATTAATGCAGCCAGAATTTTCAGTGAGAGTGAAGATGGCACCCAATGGCAGTCCCAGCTCCTCTTGTCATGGTGCCCATTGCCAATTCATTATTCTTGCCCACCCCTTGGTGCCTTGTTGTGCTCCATTGTTGCTCTTCTGGGCCTACCACCAACCAATGCACCATTATCAATTGGGAATCAAAATTGAGGTAACAGCCACATGCTCCACCATAGGGCCCAAGCAAGAAAGAGATGCAGTGAGGGAGATAGAGAGGACTGTTACCTTAGAAGGTGGGCCAACCAGGTCTCTGTTGGTGGAGGGGAACCGAAATTCCCTTGATACAGAAATTATGCACCTCTTGGTGGAGTTTTCTCCAGCCCCTTCCCTTTTCTCAATTTTAATCTAATGATTCGAATTCTTCAGTGTTGCGGCTGTTTCGTTGCAATTTTCCGGGGCTGCACCAACCGTACGCAAGCAGAAACAAAAAATTTGATTTGATTTACAATACCACGGCGAACACACAAGCAAAGATGAAGCTCGCACGCTCGCAATTCACTGTGACCGTACGCACCTCTCTGATTTTGATTTCTCCTCCAAGCCGTTCTGCCAATTTTGTAGTGGGCTTTATTAAATTCAATTACTTGTTTTGGCTGACCATCTTTGTGCCGTACAGCCGCGTCGGGCCGGCCTCGTGCTGGCGACCAGCGGTGGCGCTGCCATGCTCGGCTCCCGCTTCAGCCTGCCCTCCGTGCACGCCCACGGTACCCATTTAGATTATTATTACTTATTATCATTATTTTCTAATTTACATCCATTCAACGCTTATAAAATCCCAATAAATGAATTATAAAATCCCAATAAATATATAATCATTTAATTTATTATCGCGGGAGCAGAGAAGGACGTGGCTGTGGACGAGGAGCAGCCGGAGGCCGTCGCCGTCGCCGCCGAGGCCGAGGAGTCGCCGGTGGTGTCGCAGCAGCAGTGGGAGGAGGTGTGGGAGGAGGAGAAGGGTACGTTCCTGCGCCCCTACATCACCTCCGTCCGCATCGCCGCCCAGGAGACCCTCGCCGACGCCTGCGTACCCTCTCCACCACCGCACACGCACCACCGCACGCACACACACACGTGGCGTAGTGCTGATTACTTTGTTGCGGTTGCCGCTACAGGGCCAGTGGAAGTCGTTCAAGGAGAAGACCGACTTCGACCACAAGTGGGGCACCACCAAGCACTACGCCACCCGATACTACTGGCTGCGTGCGTGATTCAATGCTCCTCCCCCAATTGTCAACTCCCTTGTTTTGACTCGTGTGTGCGTGCGTGCGTGTGCGGTGGCGCGTGTGCGTGTGTTATGTGTTGTTCTGTACAGTCACTGGTCAGAAGCTGGGCCCTGAGATCGCCTTCGCTGCGACGACTGGCGTGCTGACGCTCGTCGCCACCAGGAAAGGTACTCGCCGCACTACTTTTTATTATAATATTTGATTATGATTATTATTTTTTTACTTATTCCTTTTTCTCGCTTTTTCTTTCACGCAGTGCTGAGGCTGCCCTTCCGTCTGGCCCTGCTCAGCGGTGGTGTCGCCACTGCCGCCCTCCTGCCGCCCTACGAAAAGGCACGTCGTCGTCCCACAGCCCCCCGCCACCTTACAATTCCCCGGTCTTGCGCTCATCTCTTTCTCGTTCTTCGTTCTTTCGTTTCTTCGTTTTCTTCGTTCCTCGTTCTTGCGCTTCGCTTTCTGGCTTTCCCTGGGCAGACGGTGCCGTACCTGGTGCACCAGTACGAGACGTTCGAGTGGGCCAAGGTGGCCGACAAGTTCGATCCCGTGGCCATCAAGGACGCCGCCATCGACGAGCTCAAGGCCTCTCTCCCCTTCGGCCTCGGCAAGTCGGTCCGTTGTTTTTTGCGTTAGTCGTTTGTCGTTGGTCGTTGGTCGTGTCGTGTCATTGGTCGTGTCGTGTCACTGGTCGTGTCGTTGGTCGTGTCGTGTCGTATCGTGGCAGCCTTCAGCCAATGCCCATGGTCGCGTGTGTCGTGTGTGTCGTGTGGTTGAGCACAGACGAAGAAGAATGTGGAGAAGGAGCTGCTTGAGGAGAAGAAGGAGCAGCACGTGGATGATGTGGCTGAGGAGGCGCCCAAGAAGGAGGAAAGTCACGCGGTAGTGCACCACCAGCCCGCCGCCGACAAGAAGGCCTGCTGCCACGACAACAACGGCGACAAGCAGGAGCACAAGAGTGAGAACCACCACCACCACCACAAGAGCGAGCGCCACCACCACGACGAGGAGAAGGAGGTGCTGGATGTCGAGCCCCTCTCAGACAAGGAGGCCGAAGATGTGCTGTAGTAAAGTAGGAGACTTGCACATAAATTCCTTCAAGGCTCTTTTCTCAAGGGACGGAGCTGCACTGTGAAGCTACACCTACAAGCGCCTCAGCAGGCAGTAAAGTGTTTAGGTTTGCAAAATAACTTGTTTATTGGCGTTTTCTACCTGCGCCAATGTCAATCACATGGCAATGAGCTCCTTGAACAAATCGTAGTATACCCTGGCACAAAAAAAGAGACAAAGAATGAAAACCCAGGGTTGAGATAGCTGGTTGGCGTTCTACAAAGAAATAGAGAGAGAGGGTGTGTGTGTGTGTACGACATACCAGATGAAGAAATTGTTGAGCGTGGTGGATGCCACTCGGTATCCCACGCCAGCGAACAAACCTGCCGTCGCTCGCGTAAGAACACACAAGACACAAACAAGACACACACGACACACGACACACGACACACGCTCACAGGACAGGCCATGGCCTATGATGTCGGTACCGGTAAGGCCTACTTGGGCGTAGACATCGAGGACGCCGAGCGGGGAAGGGGACGCAGCGATGTGGGTGTAGATGACATCGAACGGGTTGCTGACGATGGCGCACACCGCCGACGTGACCAGCGACGAAAACAGCACGCCCGCAACTCGGTGGTACTTGGAGGAGCCAAGAGAATAAATAATTAAGTTTTGAAAACAGATAAATAGGTAATATGGATAAATAGATATATAGATATATAGATAATAGATAAGAAGTGAGACAAGCGCGTACGCGTTTGATCTTTCGGTCCTTGGCGTAGCCTGGTTCGAGGTAGTTGAAGGAGGCACGCGCGCACTTCTCGAACAGGTGGAACTTGCAGAAGCCCGCCACCAGCTGACGCAACAGCAGCACCGGAAGCCCCGCGAACAGCCTGTCCAGTATCAACAATATTAAAATATAAATAATAGTTGATACATTTTGATATTAAAATAGAAAAGTAATTATTAAAAAAAATAAATATGAATACAAAATAAAGCGCATACCCACGGACGCCGGAAAGTCGGATGATCTTGAGCAGGGCGGCGATGAGGCTGGGCGCAAACAGCGGATCCGACACGAGTTTGACCTGCCCACCACAACGGCCCCCGGTCAAACACGCACACGCACACGCACACACGGAAACAGAACTGACGACGCGGGAGCAGAGGCGCCGTGAACGAACCTCGGAGGTGTGGAAGGGCGCGAGGAGGAGGGTGGCGACGGTCTCGGCGGTGAGCGAGGCAAAGAGGTACGTGTTCGACGGACCCCACGGCAGCACGTCGTGCAGCTCCTCCCTCAGCATGTTGTACCCCAGGAATTTGGCACCACCTAAAATAATCAAATTACTAAATATTAATTATGCTAATCAATATATTTTTACTTAAAAAATACATTTTTTAATTATGCATAATATAATAGCGAAAAAGTTGGCGCACTGCGTCAAGAATAAATAATTAAAAATTTATAATTATTTTTGGGTACCGTGCAAGCTCCAGCCGACGAGGCTGGCGGCGAGGCCGTGCCGGAAGCCCTCGCCCAACGGCAGCCAGCTACGGCCCACCTGTGCCCTCACCTTCAGAACATCTGATTCCCAATGGCTCAAATTACTTTCTTGCATTTAAATAAATCGTGTACACAAGGGAGGGAGTAACGAACCCAAAGGGAAGGAAGTAACGTGCGAAAGGGCGGCAGTCAGCGCGCCACCCACAGCAGACACCAGATGCTCGCCCATTATGGTTGTCGTTGATTTTTGCTTTTGTCTCTTATTGTTGTAGTTTTCGTGCACGAAGGCTGCAACGGTCATCTTGGTATGCGTGGCATGCCGAGATGGAATTTATACAAATTAATTACAGATAAATTGAAAAAGAAGAGGACGATGGATAGGCCGGGCCTGCACTCGGGACCCTCGCTGGAGAGGATTCCTCTGCCGGTCGTCCTTGTAGACACCACCAAGGTGCGCACTTGGCAAGTTTTTTGATTCCCTTTTAAAACACTCTTTTTTTATCTTTCCTTTTTGATGTTCCGCGCATCGTAGGAGGGCTTCTTGTTCATCAGGAAGCACAATGGCGAGTGG